TTTGAGCAAGCCAGGGCTGAAGAAGAGTAGCTTGAAAGCTTGTCTCTCTCACCAACAGAAGTTAGTCCAATAAATTATATTACCTCATCCACCTTGTCTCTCGACTTTTTGGGAATGTCACTGTTCTACCACCACCAATGCTGCTCCTCCAAGCATAGGAGCTCTAATATAGACTGAGCTCTGGCAACTTTAATGTTAAAAAAAGCGAGCTGATTCCCATGCCATATAGGAAGACATAGTCCCTGCCCCAAAGAGTTTACAGTCTAAAAGACAAAATCAGAGTGGAGAAAAATAGATACAACATAGAAGCAGTATGATCAGCACGATAACAAGCATCTACCATGTTAGTTCCATGTTGATTTTACATCTGTTTATGAGTTTATATAATTTTGTTACAAAAATGTAGGGTTTGGGGGAGACATTCAAGGCTGAAGTGGTGGAGAAGAAGGATTGAATTGAGAAGGAAATGAGTAAAAAAGAGGGCATTTGTGGGCAGGGAGTTTCAAAGGGAAGGAGGAAGAGAGGGTAGGGAAGAGAAGGAATGTAAGAAATATAATGGGCAGTGAAATTGGGCAGCTGAAGTGTTGCAGTGCTAGAAGAGAAATGGGATGAAGGACCAATAATCAATAGCAATACAATAAATAAGAGAGAATTAGAGTTGAGAGAATGATGATGATGTCAAGAGGCCTTATAAGCTTCTCTCTCACAAACCAGCTCTTGCAACTGTTCCCCATTTAGAGGAGACTAGGGAAGGTTGCTGGATGACATGCCCCAGGTGGGTTCCTCAAGGTACATTGTGAGCTGCAGGAGGGAGTAGAAGGCCTTTCTTATCCTTTGCACCATCACTGGTAGCTGCCCTGGCTACTTGTCAGAGATAAGTACAAATTGTCGTATTGTTTTTTAGTAGTTTAGTACTTAGTATTTTATTTCAGCTGGTACATGAAGGCCCTCAAGAAAAATTTTAGACCATAACAAAAATTGTACAGTATATACTGGTTGTCTCCTGATCACTGGAACTGGAATCAGTAGACCCATGTGCCCTGAAGGGACTCTTATTGATGGAACACCAGTAGAATAAGGAATACAGGGAGCTAGTCTGGAAGCAACTTAGCCCATAGTGCAGTGCAGAGGATTTAATAAAGTTCTACTTGTTCAACTTAACCTGCATTCAGCTTCGCTCTTTGCAAGTTAAACACTAATAACTTAAAATGGATGCTGTGGTGTTGCCTACCATAAAGTCAAGTTAATCTTGTTAGAACAAAAATACCAGTGAATTTGGCTTGACATCAGCCCAAAACTTACCACATAATTATGGATATCTTGGGACCATAAGACTTCTCAACTTTGGATTCTTCTTATCTGTCATACTGTTTGATTATCACAGTGAATGGCTTGCAGTTTTCATATCATGTGTTAACACATGGGGTTGGGGGGGAGAACACATAAAAACTTAGGACAGACAAGAACAGGCAGAGGCAAAACTCAAGAAAGCCAAACAGTGGCCTGTGAGCACAGTGTAACTCTAGAAAAAGCTAGAGAGAGAGCTTTAGGGTCTGCAAGTTAAAGAGGCTTGAGGCTCTAAGCTAAGAAACTGCTTCTTTTGTTCTTGGGTCCTCCTCCATTCAGAGAAGCTGGACTTTGTACATTCCTTGTAAACAAAACAAGATTGCATCAAAGAAAATACTAGATTCCATCAATTTCTACTTCCAACTTGAACATCCCTATAGCCATGAACTTTGACTAGCCATTTGGGATATTATCCAACTTTCACTGAAAGATTAGCAAGAATACAACGTATTCATAGATATATTAACTGCAAACAGAAAGGTCAAGACATGTAACTGCACCTTGGAATAAAGGAAGCTAGTTGCCAAGAAAGAAACAAGTCATGAAACTCAACTGAATACAGTTCCGGCTATACAATAGGTCTTTCCATCCCATGTAAAATACAACCATGTTTCCTGCTGCACAACTACATGAATGACAACCTAATGGACCACTGAGCCCACTGTTAATTTTTCTCTTCGTGACAAATTGGCACATTTGTGTTGAGTCCAAAAGAAACTCAAGGAACATATTTGACATGAAGAGAGGCACTAAAAAACCCAGCTTCAATATAAGGGGATATGGGATGTAATTATACATGTGTGTGTGCAATATCCAGAGAAATTCTAGCTATTCCTGATCAGGACTTCAGAACAACCAAAGGAAAGAGAAAACATGCATCTCAGATTTTACAGAAGACTTGGCACATGCTAGAAGGGGACATTTGGGGAGTGCTAAATAAGCACCAGCTTGGTGCATTTAAATAAAGCTACTAAATCTATACATTAGAGTGAGTCTATACAAATATGTGAGTCATAATTTAAATCAAGGCTCATAGTGATTAGGGACTGCAGCTCTGACATGTCAACAAGATTTCTGTAGGGATTAGCAACAGAGTCCAGGAAAAAAATTAAATTTCTGATCCTGCTCCCACTGAAGTCAATGACAGAATTCCCATTTATTTCAAGGGGACAAACACAAAGCCCATACCACTTACTGTGTGTGCTCAGTAATGAAGACACTTCATTCAGCTGAATGGATCTGCTGAGTTAATGAGGGACTTTCATACAGGAGAACACTTTAGATTGATCATACTAATCAAATAAATCTTTGGATCATTTTAATACCTTCCCCTTGCTATTTTTTCTAATGACCAAAGGGGGGGGAGGGCGTTGTGTGTTCAAACAAGTGTCTCCCTCACAGCCCATCTTCTCTTCCTGCTTAATCATGCAGTCAAGTCATAATACTGAAGTTCTGACATCTTAACGCTTCCCATGGCAACAGACTATGTTGTCACAAACACAGAATTGTGACTTTGTTGCAGTATCAAGTAGTGGCTGTCAAGGAGACACCTTGTATTCTAACACAAATATCCCCAAAATAGACAAATTGAATTTAAAAAGTTACTGATGAAATTAATTAGTTTTCTACAACTGTTGTTTTTTTAATTTGCCCATAAGAGCTTTAAGTCCCAAAGCTTTATCCTTCAGACTAATTCCAAAATATTTCATAATTCTAGATGAGATATGCTTCTCGAGCAATGTCTGCACTCTGATACCGTTGGATTTATGGGTTCCAGCATAGAAATTACAGCTAGAAAAGGTCTACATTCAGAGAGTTTCATCTCACTCGCAAAGCAAGGTTATTACCTACAATACAAGTTCTTGTGCTTCCTTCAGGCTAGTTTTTGAATAGCCCTCATTCCCAATCTAAAGTCTGTCGATTAAATAAATTAGTAATCATTGAATTATGAACCTTCCCTAGCAGCTGAACCACCCCTCTTGTTCTGGCATCTGGCCCCTTAGCTTACCTATCCTGTGACAGAGGCACCACCAGTAGGAGTAAGCCAGGAGGTGGGACAGAAAAGGGAAAATAGTACGATGCTGGATCCTGTGATTATTAGCTCCTAAGGGCTAGTTTATAGTATGAAGAAATGCTACTGCTGCCTCCATTTCTTTTGGTCTCCATGACTTTGTCAGGGACATAGCCTAACTTACTACATGTGCAGAATTCCAAATTAATTCAGTGCAAGTTTTGTATAAAGACTGTGGGAATGATGTGGCCACAAACTCGTAGGATATTTACCTACCTGGTGAATAGGGAAGTAGGCCTGCTTGGTTCTAGTAGTACTTGGCTCTTTTTCCCCTCTCTTATGCTGTATGCCATTTTGTGTGAATGGTCTTTCTCCTGCTACCCCTGTCATTGGTTGTGCCCACACCTCACATTTCCTTACTCTTTTGGTTATAATTAGTTACTAAAATATTTTTTTCTTATGTCCTTCCGAGGGTTACTACACAGTGCTGAATGGAACAGCCTCCATAGCGTAATGCACCCTGCAATGCCACACGTGGTTCAGCGTAGGAGTACTGGGTATATTCCCCACAGTACTGCATAACTAATCCGTTAACGGCAGCAGCAGAACATCAGATTGTAGCGGGGAAACTTGCCTATGTGACCTGGGGTGGTAGTTCTATGGTTCATGGCAATACAGGGCTGGCCCTAATTGGATTGGGCCCTAATTGGGCTGGTCCTGTATTGGAAATAGCTCATGGAGTCCTAGCTCAGATGATTGGGTGTCCCCTGCTTCCACATATCCCAGCTGTTTTAGTTTTGTCTACAAACCACTCTTTTGGGTTGTGCAAACCCTCTGGAGCATCTGTTTAGGACTCTGCAGAGGCTGGTTACTAGAGGGACCATGAAGCCAGGAGGTGGAGCTGAAGCACAGCTTTCCAAGCAAGGAATTGGAAAGAACAATTAAATATTGGTCTTTGCTGTCGCACAGCTTTGACATTTTGTGCAGTTCCTTCTGGAATATTTTATGCAAATTATGTAATGAGAATTTTTCATATTGGAAATAATTTGCATATAACCATAACCTTCACTGTAAAAAATTGTATGAATTCAGTACTGATAAAAGAGTTAGCCTATTTGACCATTAGTGGCAGAAGGAGTTGAGTTGAGAGTTCTGCTGAATGAAGTCCCCCATCTATCACACAGTGTCCTGTCAGCATGCCTCACCTTTTTTCCGGGGGACAGAGGAGGGACTTCCTCTAGAGGTAGGTCAGTCTCCATGGGTGAACAGGGTTAGTTCAGTCTCCATGACTCATGCAGTCCTTGGCCTCTTTGAAGAGTCTGCCAGTTATTGCAAAGTATAGTATTGCGTTTGAGATGTGAGAGCTCAAACTAGGACCCACCCTACACATCTCTTATGATAAAGCACCAAATATCCAGTAGATGAGAACATCTTCTGATCCCTTCTCACATGTGCTGGATTCAAACTAGTGATGTAAAAGTGAAAGGCTCTATAGCTTATTAGCATCGCTCTGAAGTACCAACTCCCCAGTAAGTGCTAATTTCATACCTTCAGGAACAAGGCTTGCTTTCTTGAAAGGAACGTTTATTAAATCAAGTTCTGACCTTTATGGAGCTTACCCAAGCAAGGTCTTCCACTCTGTTGATGCACATGAAAAACTTTCAGTATCCTGAAAACATACCTCACACTGTACTTAGAGACAGCTCCCAGGAGCCAAAATACAAACAATAAACATACAATAATAAAAAATTAACATCCAAATCCACATCTAAATAAAATCATTTCAACAAGTACACGAAAGAGGGACCCTATATTATATAACATAACATTGTCTGCAAAACCAAGCATTCAAAAATTAGGAATTGCCAGAATTAAGGTTGTCTGTGCAACTTTAATTGTGCCTCCATGTGATTATACACTAGGAAGCAGTCTTTAATTATACAATCAGATTTTCCCTGTATTAATACAACTGGGTCAGGCCTTATGACCTTTAGAGCCAGACTATAGCTGTATGTCTTTCATTTGAGATAAAGGCGCAAATAGTAGCTGTTATATAGGCTGATATAGGCTGTTATTTTCTATGTGGACCAGCCCTGAGAGCAGAGGTATGACACACTTTTGCCAATGGCTTACAAAACTGTTTTTGAGACAACACTAAGATGCTGGGCATCAGTCATTCCTGGCTTTAGGAGCAGAATTGTCTACAGTGGTTAGAACAGTAGTTGCAGATAGATTTAGTACACATTATGAAAGCCAATGTGGCTGACTGATTGCATCTTGGTTCTGTATTAGGGCGTGTCTACACTGCAGCTGGGAGCAAACCTCCCAGTCCAGGTAGATAGACTCAGGCTAGCCTAGCATACTAAAAATAGCAGTGTGGATCTTGTGGCTTGGGCTACATTTAGGGTCTGGGGGGACTTCAGTGTCTGAGCTGCCGCCCCAGCTGCAACATCCACACTGCTGCTATTTTTACTGCACTAGTTTGAGCCCCACTTTTATGAATCTGTTTGCCTTACCTGGGAGGCTTGCTCCCAGCTGCAGTGTAAACATAACTAGAGACCTGGGTGTTCTGTTCCAAGCTCTATCTACAATGACATTGTGCAACTTCTAGGTTACCTTAATTGTGAGGTAAGTCAGTTAGAAGTGTTGTGAACAACCCATTAATATTAAAAGATGTGAGAACAGATACTTGATTGTGCTGTTAGAAGTACATCAAGAAATGAAAAATGTTAATTTATGCTGACAGATTTCTCCTTCAGTATCTGTGGAGCATAACTCTAAAAAGGTGGATGATTCCTGCCCCCACTAATTAAGCTATATTGCCTCCAGAGGGGAATAGTTATGCAGCTCTGAATTAATGATTTGGAGAATCTTTAGAGAGTATCTACAATTGCCAGAGTATCTCCATGTTGAGTTACTTCTTTCACAGTTAAAATTGGCATGTGGTGGAACCCAGCAAAGACTGCAACACTCAGAATAGCAAAAATCAATGTGAGCATTTGAAGTGCTATAGACATTTGTTCTCTCATAAAAATGTGATTATACATAGCTGTTTGTGTTATGCACATTATGTGTCAGAGTTGCACAGGAATGCACTGTAGAAGAATGGGTCTTTTTACAGTGATTAGGTTCATGAAGAATTATAGGTTAAAGAACATTCATGTACTTGAACGGAAAATAAATTGTAGATCCCTGAAATCCCAATTTTGGCAGTTTTAGAAAATATGTTATTTCATTGTGCTCTGGCTCGGAACACTGTGTCCATATAGGTTTTAAACAAAGTTTATTACATTTATGAAACACAAATTTGGGTCACTTTGGTTTTTAGTACCTGGGTGAATATATACTACTTCTCATCTGGAAAATCTTTATGTATTGATTTTAGCACTATAGCCTCGATTTTTAAAGGTAGTGCTGTGCTTGGGATTGCAATGTCTAACTGATTTAGGAGCCTACATCTCATTTTCAAAGGGGATTTAGATAGTCTAAATCCCATCCACTGTCTATGGGACTTAGACTCCTAAGTGCCTAAATCCTTTTGAAAATGACGCAAGGCCTAACTGATTTAGGAGTCTGTAACACTGAGTGCAGCAATACCTAAATATCTTGAAAAATTTGGACCTATAACATTTGTAGTGTTGTGGCCAGAAATGTATGAAGTTTGCAGCTTCATAATAGCCCAATTATATGAAACTTTACTGAATATGTTGTATTTGTATTAATTTTGTGTATATTTATATATTAATTTATAGTATTATTTCAAAGATTTTGGGACCTCATGTGAAGTACAGGTGAGCATTAAAGGAGGTGAGAGATAAGAATTATTTTAACTTCCAAACCAAAAGTGGTTGTAACTATCATCAACACTAAAGGGGTTAACATTAGCAGTTTACTAATACAGTGAGAAGTCCTGCTGAGCCACTGTGGGTGTTTAATGGGAGAAGAGGTGATTATGATTAAGCAGGTAAAAATTTAGACTGAGATACAATGGAGAAGCAAGCTGCATTTGAGCTTTGATCCTCCTTCCCCCTCCCACTATGATTATTCTATTATCTAGATTTCTCATCCTGTTTTCTACTATTAGTAAAAAGTTTATTTGAAAAGAGGGTCATAAACATTCTTCTGTTCCTGCTGCTTATTCCACACTTAAGGTTCTATTCTTCTATGGCTATGTCTACACTATGAGGTGGGATATGATTACCAGCTTGTGTACACATGCTCACATGAGAATAAATAGCAGTGTAGCCATGGTCGTATGGGCAGCAGTGACATGTCTCCACCACGCTGAGTACTTACCCACAGAGTATTTACCATGGCTACACTATTTTTCATACTTGAGCTAACAAGTCTCTGTCTGCGGGCCTGAGCTCGTAGACATAGACATGGCATCACAGTGATTTCTAGAGAGAGTAATTGTGTAAATGATGTAAACTTTTTTTTAATAATAAGAGTTGAGTTGGCAATTTATTTCAACAGCATAAAGTCATGCAAGATCACTACACAAATAGGTACATCACAAACACAGTTGCTGAATGAATCACAGTATTACAATATAAGGCCCCTATCCTGCAAACACACTTTTACTTGAAATCAATGCGACTACTCATGTAGTAAATTTAAGAATATGTTTGTGTTTGTAGGATTGGGGCCTAAAGTATTACAGAGCTTAAGCAGTTTGCACCTCCAGGAGCCATTTGTTATCTGATCACTTCCATTTAATATTCAAATATAAAGTCAGAGCATACAAACCACTGATTTTCTAACATAGGATGCATTCTCACACAACACTATATCATACTATGTTTTGAGACCCTTTAATTATATAACACATATACACACAATATGGACAAACCAGACCTACGGTTGCCATAACAGAGAATTTGTCTTGCTTCTGTAGCTTTCGTTCTGAATCCCACACAGATGCTGTCAGGTCATATGTCGCCAAAAATGTAGTTTCATTTGTTTCCCAAAACCTAATACTGACAAATATTGCCATGACTCCCCCCCCCCCCCACCGCATTTAAATCTCAATGGTATCTTACTTACCCACACACATTCCCCAGCAGTTTTACAACCTACACATTGTAACAGAGTGCTAGTGCATAAGGACCTGAAAGAGAAGTCAACTAGAAACCGACTAGTCTATTTTCATTCATCAAGCTAATACACAAAAGGACCATAGCATCAAGTGATTAAAACATTAGAACTTGAATTTTAACAATCTCTGGTTTTTAAAAATATTTTTCTACCCTGACATTGTCTTCTTAAGTTTTTAATTTTTGTTTACCTTTGTATGGTAATCATGAAATGTGTCCTTTTAACCTGACGTCTTCACTACTAACCGTTCCCAGCAACGCAAGACTCCTGTCCTTTGAGGTCCCCGCATTGCACATTAAGGTTCTTAAAGAAGATCCACCGCCCTCAAAAAGAATCATACAAAGAACCAACTAAAATGAAATGCAACTTCTGTATTTCCACTCCCTATCTACTTCATCCTCCATAGTTACCTGTATATTGTGCCAATCCTGCACTTATAACACATGCAAAATTTCAATGATGATACTGCCCTGTGTTTTGTCCGTTATAATAACTAGTTCCTTCCTTTCAGTAATGTCACAATTCATATTTGAGCCTGGGTCTGAAAGGCAAACTCTATTCATAATCCTTAAATAGAGTATTCTATTAGCAAAAATAGTCATTAGAAAAATAGTTGGTGTTGAAATTTCAAGTTTGAGACTTCAGAGCAACAATCCAAGAGGATGAACAGGAGAATCGACACAGGTGTTAGATCTGCTCAATCTATGGCCCCAATTTAGCAAGCCAAAATAGCATATTCTTAATTTTAATAGGACTTAAGTCCTTTGCTGAATCGGGGACTGTATGAAAACTCCTAAGTGCATAAGGGCATAACTGAAGTCCTCCTGTGAATCAGGAGAATACAGCAAGTGTATCACAGGTTTAAAAGGCTTAGTCTGAGCATGTCTTAAGTATTCCTTAAAGATACTTTATGGAGCAATTTTCACTTACTAGATCTGACTGAACAATAACCCAGTGTCTGTTCCAGGTGCCCGGTGTTGTCTAACAAAGTTTTCAGACAAATCACATCTTTCCCCAAATATCCCTGGTTGTCCCATCCCCATTAGCAAAGCGGCAACATCAGTCCTTTGATATTACAGCTACTGCGAGTACACTCACCTCATAACAATCCTAACTATGATGATCTTATTGATCATGGACCCATTGTTTATTCTGTAACTGACTCATGAGAATTACTGGAATTCTTACAAATCCCAAATAAAAGGGAGGGGCAGACGTAAAATGTAATTTGATACCTTATATGTCTCAATGGATTGCTCAGTATCCTATTGGGATAAACATTGTTAGGGAAGTGCTATTCCATTATGCTCATCAATTTCAGAACACAAGTAAACATATAAAAATGAATTATATTTATATAATTATACAGTGCTGACCTTATGTACAGTAAATAAAAAATGCAATGGAATCTGTGCAGAGGTTATGATACATATGTTATGGAAAAGCATTTCACATTAGTTTAAAAATTTGCTGTAGGTTGGCACCTTAGGATTTGCTTTAAAAGAATGCAAGTTGTTTATAACAACTTAGTGGTAGTTTAAATCCAGCTGCTTTGGAGCATGACTGCAAGCTGAACATATAATTTATTCTAAATACAGTTCTGCATTGGTATTGAGGTCTAGGGTGAAATCCTATCTCAATTGAAAGAAATGAGAGTTTTGCCATTGACTTCAATAAGATCAGGATTTCATCCTTGGTCTTTACATTTTCAGTCGGTTGTAGTGGAGTAGCCAAAACGAGACACTGCTATTAGCAACAGAGCAGACACTTAATTCAAGATACCACACTTCAAACAGTTGGGGTTTTTTTGTTTCTTAAATAAAGATAAAGTAAATCTTATTGTAGAAATGGTAGTAAAGGAGGCATTTTTTGTTATGTAATATTGTTCTTAATTGACTGTGGTATATTGAGCTTTCACTGTTAAGAGACAAGATTTGGAGATTATGCATGCTTTAGATTTAAAAGTAGAGGCAGAATAATGCTTAAATGCCTCAGTACACAGAAAAGGCATGTTTACAAAACAGCAATAAACACTGTAGATAATAATAATAATAATAATAATAGAAATAGAATAGTCACTCAAAATGAGTGACTAGACAGGGTTGGATTTTGAAGGAAAGAGTCCACAGAGGTCTGAGATAAAAAGGTATCAGCCTGAGTTAAGAATAGCAATATTTTCCAAAAAGCCCTTGAATCATATATCACATGCTCTTCAAAAAGTTGCTGGCTTCTAGTTAAATATTCACACATTTGGTGTATGAAAGATGTATAATTTTTAAGGGGTATGTGGTATGTATAGGTGTTAAATTACAGTAGCTTGACTGTAATATCTGCCACAGAGACTCATGACACTTTATGGCTCCCACACTGCTCCCATTACTGAGGGAAGAGAAGAGAAAATAGGCCTCTTTCCTTCTCTCCTGAACATAGGAAAATTCTTATTGGTTTGCATGTTACTAGTTTTCACCAGCCAAATTGCTTTGTTCCATATCTTCTGAAACCCCCTGTACTGAATTATATTGGCTGCACTGACACTTACTAGCAAGGAAAATTCTGAGGAACTGCAGGCTTTCCTTGCAACTTAACCCAGACAAAAAGCTGTTCAGGATGTACAGAGTTTGTGCAATTAAAATGGATATATGATTTGTGAACACCTCTCAGAAAGGAACTGAATGGGCAGTACCGATCTGGCCACACACAGTAGTACAGGAAACAATATTTAACTAGGAGTTTTTACCAATGCAGAATACAATCCTGAGGCTGCTTTTATTTTCCATTAAAAGATATTTCTAGGCTTAATACAAGTTGATTTAGAAACAGTAACTTTCCTGAATGCAAAATACATACATATGGAAGTGAAATTAGCTTGTTTTCAGCTTCCATCATTTCTGCCTAGGTACTTAGATGGCCTCTATCATCTGCTTTCAGGATGAAACTCTAATCTTCACTATTTTATATGGCACTTGGATACACAGAGTTAAGAGATACCTGATAAAATAAATTCACTAGATGAATTTATGACTGAAAGCAGGGAGCAGAACTATATCAAACACCCCCCCCCACCCCACCCCCGCACACACACACACTTTCATGGCTTGGAAGGTGTGTTAAATTCACCTTCTGTGAGATTTTCAGGAAATCTGGTTTATTTGGCTTACACAGTAAGCTACTCTTTGTACATTGTGTTCTGGATAAAGATGTGATTAAAATATTACACAAGTTACAGGTCACATTTTTTTCTCTTTACACAACTGCTGATAAGTAATTTGTGCTTTTATAAATACAGTATTATACGTTCTATGTACAGGCACTGACAGACTCTGGTGCTGCTGTTAACCAGCCATCCACAGAAAGAATGGAATAATGATAGTGGGCAGGGTGGTGGAAGGTGCCAAACCCAGACAGACTATAGATGCTAATCCCAGGAGCGCTGAAGCAAGAACACTTCTCTGGTCCCGAATAATCATCTTCACTGTTTCACAGAACTGCAAAAGTCAGAGGGAAAGGTTCACAGTTAAATATGAAATCATTCTAAACTGATAGGTATTGTGAGGGCAAGGAGAAAGCAGACCATCAAAGACTGCTCTGTACCAGGGATTCAACTTCTGTGGGCTAGAAAGGGATGGCTGGGTGAGTGAAAAGGGATCTATTCCCCTTAGAAACTGCCCCTGGCCCCATTGGAGTCCGTAGGAGCTTTACTACTGACTGCAGTGCATGCAGGATCGGGTCCTTAGAGACGCCAAGCCTATCTTAAGAGTTCATTACTAGTTGTCTAATGAATCACGCTTTATTTTCTTGATGATCAACGTCACTGCAGAGAGGTTAAATTTAGCTGCCGGTTAAGTTATTTCTAAGCAGCTTGGAAATTGTTTTCATGACTTGCAAAACCTGTAACTGATTGTAATTTGGTGTGAAACCTACATGGCAGGAGAATTTAAGTGGATAGGATGGTGGGCAAGCCATTCTGGTGAACTGACTGTTAGCATCTACTGGAAAATTACGCTTTCATAGAGACACTCCCCTCTCCCCTTTACATACTACAGATTTCAGACTGAAATACGCCTGGAGTCAGTCTTTGCAATCCCTTAAAATGCCATTAATTCTGTTTGATCTCCTGCTGAATAAAACATCCAAGATCCTGCTTGGCGTTGGATGGGGAAGGGAGAGACAGTGAAACAGTGTTTTGCAGCAGTCTGTGGCTGCAGTGCCAGTATACAGTAACTTCAGATCAGAGAGCTGAGTATTGACTAGACTGCTCAAAAGATTGCTTACTTACGGAAACCAGGCCTCAGCACCAAGTGACCTACTTCTCAGGGAGTACACTTGGAAAAAAAACAAGTTTTTTTTGTTTTTTTTTTAAGAATTGTGAAGATTGAGCCCAACTGAGATTTTACACAGCCTATCCTCTCACCAAGCTGTTTGTTGGACTATTCAAGCCACACACAAAAACTCTGTTATTCTGGAGGTGCTAAATAGTAACACCAATTAAAATCTGTTCTGATTCTGTAAAACCTAGCAAAGCTTTCAAACTCATGGAAAGTGCTCCACTACTAATACACACAGATTAAATATTTTACTTTAAATAAAAAATAATAATAATAAAGAAGCTGACTAGCCTCTGTTCCTTGGCTGAAATGAGCACACAGGGTAGTATGTGCTCCAACATAATTATCACGCAGAAACATGGCTTTCACTGCGAGAAATTATTTGCGCTACCTAAATAAATCTGACATGTTTACTTTTGTAGGCTTGTAAAGTGCGTGGGGGACTCCTTTCCAAACTAGCCTTGGGCTGCTGCTATCACTGACTTCAGACACCTCATAATGTGGCAACTGTACGTTTCTTTTATCTGGGGAGGAAAGGCCTGCCAGCTCTTTTCCAAAATCCATGATCTCTCTGGTGGCACAGGATTTGCTGAGAACCTAGTAGGTTTAACTAAAAACTGGTAAATGGACGGAGTTGCTGGGCTTTTTCATTTCTAGAGAGCATGGATCCAGTGCCTCAAAGTAAAGTATCATTCGTATCATTGGTTTAGATCATCAGAAGGTGAAAGGGGGGGGTGTGTGCTTTGTTGGCAGAAATTTGCTTTTATTTTTCTTTATTTTTCCCCCCCGTCGACTGATGCCAGTCTTGCATCTTTAAACAAATTCACTGTCTGTCTCCCTACCCCCAGCTCAGAGATTATTAGCCATGAAACACCTGGTTTATCAGTGCCACAAGCCCTTTCAGGTATAGGGGGTACTTTCCTCCTCACCCATGCCAAATAGAGCTACTTTATTCAGGTCAAATACTAGCCTAGAGTTTGATTTCATAGAGGATGCTTTACTCTGAATGTACCTTTGTGGCAGATCACATTATCAATGAGATTCCTCTTTCTTCGCATACTTTTAGAACCTTGCCAATTTCAAGAGTCTGTGTTTCTTCCACTAAGTTAGCCTTTGAGGTGGTGGGGGCTTGATTTGCAGCAATAACAATGCTTGGAACCAAACAGCCTTGGGTTTTAACCCGTTTCCAAGCATTCTAATTGGGTTTGAAATGGGGGGAGACTCCCTTTGGGGGCAGGTGGAAATGACTTACAGAGGGGTGAGTTTGTAACTTCTACCTGTATTTACACATTTTTGGGCCCTCTGCGTGGACAGATTCCTTTCATGCTGAGTCTAGCAAACCATTAGCAGTCAAGGACCAAAATCCCTTTCAGCGTTAATGGTCCATTGCAGGATGTCAGGTCATTTGACCTCATGGGAGATTTGAAGTGTTAAGACTGTCTCTTGCCAGTTTTCAGGCTCCGGGGTGTTAGGAAACACTAGACAAGGGACTAGAAGTATGTAGACAAAGTTCAAAACCTCCAGCTAATGATGGCTTCAGACAACTCCTTTTGCAAGCAGCTTTTGGAGTAGCAGCCAAAGAACCAGGGGGAGGAGGAGAAGGGAGCCTCCCACCCCCCGCCCCTGCCCCCCAGAGAAGGCTCACGGTAAGCTACTGATGCTGCTCATGCAGGGGGAAAGAGGCTGAGAGAGCTCTCCTTTCACACAGGGGAACGACATGGTTAAAGTTACAGCAAGATCGTTGGGGCTCCTGCTGGGGCAGTTTCCCTCTCCAGTCCCCCCAGCCACCAGTCTTCCAAGACTCTGCGTCCTGTCCTCGCTCACTCCAGCTGGGCAGGTGTTTGGCTCACATGCCGGGTGGGAGGCCAGGGGGACTTCCAATCCGTTCGCCAGGTAACTCTAAAGCTGTTTTCAGAGTAGCTGCCGTGTAAGTCTGTATCCCCAAAAAGAAAAGGAGGACTTGTGGCACCATAGAGACTAACCAATTTATTTGAGCATAAGCTTTCGTGAGCTCACTTCATCGGATGCACGCTGTGGAAAATACAGTGGGGAGATTTATATACACAGAGAACATGAAACAATGGGTGTTACCATACACACGGTAAGGAGAGTGATCAGGGAAGGTGAGCTATTACCAGCAGGAGAGAAAAAAACCCTTTGGTAGTGATTTGTGCCCGCCCAGGGGGAGGTAGCTCGTCCTAGCGTGTAGGGTTTCCACGGGACGTCAGACGGTAAGCGGGGCAGCCAGCAAAGCGAACAGATCGGCTCCGCTTTGCTCCCCCCGCCCCCAGACACAGAGGGGAGATGGGCAGAGGACCAGCACACACCTGTACCAGTCACCCCAGGCCAACCCGGGGTGGGTGTGTCCCCTCCCCTAGCGAGGCAGGGCGCCCGGCTGAGCGGGGCCCCGGGCGGGCTTTACCTTGTCGGTCTGGAAGCTGACCGCCGAGCCGTAGCGGCAGTAGGTGACGAAGTGCTCGCAGTTGTTCCACAGCAGGCTGTACGCCGTGGCCCCCACCAGCTTCTCCGCCCGCCGGGCCACCTCCTCCTCGCACAGCGCCTTGCTCGGGAAGGCCTCGTCCATGTGGTTCGCCAGGATGGAGCCGCCGTAGGCGAAGTCCTCCACCGTGTCCACCCGGATGCGGGCCATTCTGGCCAGGACGCCCAGGACGAGCCTCTTGTTGGTCACCACCTGCTGGATCTGCCGCTGGTCGTCGGTGAAGGCGGGCAGGATGTCCGGCATCAGGTGCGCCACGCGGTTGTCCCCGAGGTAGATGCCGAAGTGGACGAAGAGGGTGCGGGGCACCTCCAGCAGGTCGCCCCGCTTGAAGCGGGTGGCGTCGCAGGAGCTGGCGGGCTTCGCCTCTTCCTCCGCCGCGCCGGGGCCCTCGCTGCACAGCCTGAGGTTGGCCAGGAGGAGCAGCTTCTCCAGCAGCAGGGAGGCCACTTGGTACATGGGGTTCTTCATGCTGCGGGCCTGGAGGCTTTCCCTGGCCTTCCTCCTGCGGCGGGATGCTGCCACCCACCCCTGCATCCCGCCTTCTTATCCCGGCGGGCGGGCAGGCGGGAGTGGCGGGGCCACAAGCAAGCGCGACCCCGATTGGCTGAGAGGGAAGTGGGCGGCTTCCAACCGTGAGTGAAATAAACCTTTATTCAGAAGCAGCGCTTAAAAAACGTCTCCTGGGCAAGCCCTGATGCTGCTGCCCTGTTGAAGCCTCTGGGAGGCAGAGCTCCTCCCCAGAGCAGCTCCTGGCTTCTGGATCGCCTGTTCGCGAGGAGAGGGGCCAGGGAACTAGGCAGTCGAACAATGTGTCCGTTTGCAGGAATTCAAAGCTGAGAGAGGGAAGCGATGGAATAAAATGAATGGCCATTGAGGGAAGTTATGAATGACTCAAGTGCCACTAGAAGAAAAGGAGGACTTGTGGCACCTTAGAGACTAACCAATTTATTTGAGCATGAGCTTTCCTGAGCTACGCTGATTTCGTTATGGGCGTAAATTGTGTACAGCTACAGCCTGTAAGTGGGGACCTCAAAGTAACGCAAACTACTTCCAAGATAAAAAGTTGCGCTTTCTCACGCGTTCAAAATGGTCTCTCCCCCCCCCCCCCCAAGTCTTCACGGCGTTCAAATATAACATCATCATCTATTTGGGCCTGTAGAATAGAAAGGTCAGTTAGATTGCCCGAGAATTTCTCCCGTCGCATTTGGATCTCTCCAACTACCACTTGCATTTGTGTATTCTGTTTTCTTTGCAATTCCTTGTAATCGCTTTAAAACGAGCATCAAATATCAACTGCATTTGAATATACGGGATTCTGTTATATTCCGGGATCATCACTGTAGCAGACACCGCATTAAACATTACAATGCCTAAGAGCTACTAGGGGCATTTCTCTGCTTGGACTATATGTAGTTATAAACATGCAGTGAGTAAGAGATCTGACCTCAAACACTAGCACTCATTTTTGATGTTGTGAGTGACTACAGCCTCCTTGGAATTAAAATGTCCCCTGATAGGTGTATTCGCTAAATAACTAACTGGCCGGGATAGTAAATTACAAATTACAAGTTCCTCCTGTTTGTCATACTTCGTGACGAACGACAGTGACAATTTGTTTCCTCCTAAACAAAGCTCTTTCCTCTCGCACTGAGTTCCTCAAAGTTCAAAGGATTAGGCAGGCACAATAAATGTTTATTACACAGCGCAGTGTACGGAGGAGAGGAAATCGTAGTGGCAATGACAAGTGATCGTGCACTTGATTCCTTTACAAAACCATTTGCATTTACATCGATCGCTAATTTCCTGCTTATCGGGGAAGACAACAGGCTGCGAAGTGAGGAGGGGAGTGGAACTCATATTTACAATTTAACTTGTCCTAAAATCCGTCGGCTAAGAGAGCGGAGGAAACATGCCTCTGCTGTTTGTTTCCCGCTAATCCATTATGTCAATGTATAAATCCCGGGAACAAAGCCCACAAAAGAGCAGCTCTGTCAGGGCAACAAAGCCGCCTAGTCTGAGGCTAATAAGTTTCAGTAGCCGAGCAAATTCCCGGCTCTCCCTGGGGGCTGCGCGGAATGATTGATGGGAGGACATTCATCTTACCTGGAAAATGACAGGGCCTTGGAGACCAGGAAGGGAGGAGGGCCAATCTCCCCTTTATCCTCGGGTTCTGTGGCCACAGCCTTTCTCCCAGCCCCTGCAGTCGCACTGTCCCCCAGACCCAGTGCCATTGACTTTTGTTCATGTCACAAACACTCCCGATTCAACCTTTTAGTTCCGTCTGGAGAAAGAAACTTCGTCCCACTATACATGAAGCAAGAAAGCGGGTGGGAAGAAACAGGAGGAGGGGCAGGGCCAGCTTTTCACACTATCCCCCTTTCTAAGGAAGATTGCAGGGCTGGGAAAATTTTTGAGCTAATTTCCTTACGTTTTGTTTGCCTGAACATCTGCAAACAAACTGATTTAGCGTGTCTCGGTCGGTTACAAACACTTGCTGAGAAGCGGGCAGGAACTGTGTATGTCCAAAGCCTCGACACATTTCTGTGGGCAAAGCAGGACCTCCTTAGAGCAAATAAATATTTTCCCTTTCAGTCATCATACCAGTGTCGGGGGGAGGAGGGCTCCTCACCATGGCATAGCATAGACTGTGCATTCAGGAATGGATCCGAAACCCAAACATTCTAGGGCCGTTTTTATAATTAATCACTTGCCACAAAAAGTCTCTACCAAGTGTTTGAAACCCAAAAGAAACCACCCTGTAAAACCCTGCCTTATAGCGGGCACATGGAAGGAGGAGCAAGAGAGAGAAAGTCAGGGGATCATTTGAGGGTTAGTCAGGTTTTTGGCCTTTCCTTTCCCTTCCCCAGGTCTTTTGCCCTGGACGATCAATATTTGTCTGATGGTTCTCTGTGAGTCGGTAAATGACACCTCACAGTCGGGTGCAGCAGAAAGGAGAATAAGAGATTGGACCAGCTTTTGCAAAGCACGGACTGGGGTGCCTATCCTAAAGTCTGCTACTCCCCTTTTCACTCCTTGCAGAAGGCTATATTTCAGCCGAGGGAATTTCTTCACAACTAGGGGCTTGGAACCGAAAGGTGGATTTCATGAAATTATTCTTGTAAAGAATAATTTTGAATCACTGGTCTGATCTTGCTCAGAAGTAACAAGCAGCTTCCGTGCTAAACGAAAAGTACTTCCACCTCTCTAACCTGCAACCGGAGTGACAAACCAGCACGAACCTCCTGCGTAGCCATTCATTGCTGGTACTTGCCCCAGCACCTCTGACTGGTGGGGGAAGGAGGGAATCAGGCTTTAGGGAGTTTCTTTTGGGAGTCCCAGCCAAGTTATTATATAATGCAGGGTTAGCCACGTTGCGGATCAGCGCCAAAGCCTGCCCCGTCTACAAGAGAAAATAGCTTGAGGCGATGTTCACCTTATTTAATTGTGTGGAGGGTGTTTGCTTGGTTCGTGGCAGGTTCATCCCCCCTAAACAACATTGCAACCTGTGCTGCAAAAACTAGCTTTAACCGACGTGGTTACTGATCTATTTCTAGGTGCAACTGCACTGAGAAGAAGGTTGTGGGAACTTTTCGGACAAACTGCAGACACACTTTCAGCCAGCCAAACGGCAGAAGCAGCGATGTCAAGGATGCAGAGTGATGCTGTTTTTTAAGGTTTATGTTTCAAACCTGCGCTTTCCCCCGTTCGATCGCCAACCGCAGGTGGTAAAAATTTACCCTGGTCTACACGGGGGGGGGGGGGGGGGGGTATGTCGATGTAAGATACGCAACTTCGGCTATGCGAATAGCGTAGCTGAAGTCAGTGTATCTTAGGTCGACTTACCCGGCCGTGAGGACAGCGGCGAGTCGACCGCTTCCGCCTCTGGCGATCTGGAGTTCTGAAGTCGACGGGGAGCGTGTTCGGGGATCGATTTATCGGGTCTAGACGAGTCGCGATAAACCGATCCCCGATAGCTCGAGCACTACCCGCCGATTTTGAGCGCATTTTCAGAGCCGATTCAGTGGTTGAGCCCGCATGAAGGGTCCCCCGGCCTGGGGAAAATAAGGCGGGAAATCGGCATTAAGAACGTTACAGAAAATGAACAATGTAAAACACGCCTGTGCGTATCACCAGATCACACCTACATGCATCGACGTCCTCAGAGCAGGCGGCGAGGGAGGCTCCCTTGCTGGGGTACAGCAACGCGACTGCCTTCCCCGCGGGTCTCTTCTCCTTTCCAGACAAGCAGCGGTTCATCCCCACCCCATCGCTGCCGAGAGGATGCGAACCTCCCTGGGCCCAGAACCCCCTCGTCCTTGATTCTGCACAGAAAAGAGACGCTCGACCCACGACCCTGAGGCGCTGGAGACCCACGTCTCCCACTGAAGGCAGAGAAGGTGCTCAGCGCATTGCGGGACTGGCCCCAGCGCTTCGTAAATCCTTATTCAGAGATTAGAGCAAGAGCCAAATTAGTCCAGGTCGGCGGCCCCTGGCCACCTGCAGGGCCTCGTCCTCGCTCTTCTCCGGGTTCAGCTTCCTTCCCCTGCTGCACTTCACACCGCCACCCTCCTGCACCGTTTCCTAGCGGCTGAAGACGCTCTCCCCCTGCCAGTGCACCCGAGCACGTGAAGACGCGGCATCTTGGGTCTGATTCTGCAAAGGGGCGATGGTCCCCAACATTAGGCTCAGGCCCAAGGGGAGAGGAGGGATCTCGGCACCTTATAGGTGCTTTGCGGAGACAACCCTGAGTTGCATCCTCCCCACGACCACAGAAGGACTGAACCGACGAGAAAGGGCAAATACAGCAAAGCCTCCCGCTGCTCTCTGATTTTACTGGTGTCTGGAGCAAACACGGAGTTTCCCCACGCGGGATCACACGCAAAAACGACGCCTGTTGAAAACATTTATACTTAACAATAAGGAGGCGGCTCCCTAGAACCCCACTTACACCCCACAGCCTTTCATGCCTTGCTGCATCTTCCCCCACCCCATCTCCTGCCTCTGCCACATCAGAGTAACACCTGGACACCGCGGCAGGGATACCTGCAGGTTTTTGCCCAACTAGCTTGAGGTGCTCAGCAAAACAGGGGAGGCCTCCGGGGCCCCTAGGGTCTCCCCCTCAGAAGTAGCGTTAGGTTGAAGCCAGAAGGAGCGGTAACTCCTTGGTTGGTACCAATAAATGTTTTCACGCTGGATCATAGCACTGTTTAGTCAGAGGCAGCCTTTGTTTGCTTGTTAAAGGCCAGTTAGTTTTAATCCCCAAATTGTCAGAGTCCATTACAAGTAAATCCGGGAGAGAAACCCAAGATGAAACTCAAGAAGAGAAGCGGGGTGGTCCCCACAGGTAGGAGGAAGCTCAAAGCCTTTATGCTCCTGAGTTTCAAAGGAACAAAGTGAAGGCTGGGGCATTACTGCACTGAGTAACCCACACAGCAGTGAAGCAGCTGAAGCATAAAAAAGCCGTACCTTTCCCGACAGCTGGTTTATAGGGAGGGCTGGAAAGCCACTGGAAGGCATCAGATAAACAAGAAATCAATGAAATGTAGCATTACTGCCCCCAGCCCAGACACATAGCCCCAGGGGATGCAATCAGATAACACTGCACCACCGCAAGGCTGTGGTATTGGGAGATTTCATTTATTAATGCTCATAAAGTTTCAGATCTTTGGATAGAAGGTGCAATGTAACTGCTTATTATTACAAAAATATACATTTAAACTTAATAACTTGTACACTGATAACATTTTTCTTTGTTAGTAAATAGACGATTACAGCTATTTTTGAAAAGCAGCAAAACTTTCAAGTCCTGCATGGAAATCTCAGGTTGAGCACCTATATTAGGCTCTTTCTAACTCTGGCTCCTGCATGCCTAATCCCTTTCAACCAATAGGGGAGCAAAACAAGAGAAAAAAAAAGCCATATACTTTGACACTTCCCCTTTCTATTCTGTTTTTCAGTAAAATAAAACAAGGTGTGTTTATATCTATTACTTGAAGTTGTTCATGGTTTCTGTTAGACATAAACATAAGAAACTAACCCCTTGGAAATACACATTTTTTCTAGAAAGAAAATACTTTTTTTCTTCACTAAACATATTAGTTTAATCTATTACATTATAATTAAAATTTAAAAAGGCATTTCACCTCTAGTCCAACTCTAGAACACACTACTTCTCCAGCCTGTTTTGGATGGTCATTGCAGGACATAGTCATTCTGTGCATTGTTTAATGGGCAGATTAAATTGTCACAAAAATGGCAAAACTATCTCAAAATATTAGTTTTAAATATATGATGGATTGTACTGTCTGTTTTGACTGTTAGGGACCGTGCAACATTTTAGGATGTATTACATATTTTATTTTGAGAATTAGAGCTGTCATAAGAAACAGTAAAATTAGAGAGCTCCGAAGCCAGTGACAATTTGTCTAAGGGATTCTGACACATTCCCTAAGGAAAATATTATGAAAATAAATGCCACTTGGTGCAATCTAGTGTGTTGCAAAAGCAAACAAACAAAATCCAGCCATAGCTCAAAGTTATCCCTACTGGGGATGGTTTAGTGGTGTCTGGAGGGGTATGAACTCCAACAGAGACAGAAAAACCCCTCTCCATTCCCTACTCCATCAAACTGCATGGTTTAATTCTTCAACAAACTGTGCCTCTGTTGTACAGTTGTGAATGCTCTGCACCTCCCAGCCCACAGGCCACCACTACCAGTGGGTCTAAAGTGTTCATTGTTTAGTCATTCAATTTTCATATTAACCAACAGTGAATGTTTAATTTGGTACAGAATTGGGTGAGATACAATCTAAAGTGGGAACTGAACCAACACACAAACTCAGAAAACGTAAAAGGAACCCAAAACAATTAATATTAAAAACATTTCTAAACTAAGTTGCAATTGGAAAATATATTAAAAGAAACTATTTAAATTACTGAAATATCTAGCCTTTTTACCAGTTTACTTTCAATATCAAAGTAATCGGATATAGATATACAAAATCACTTAAACAGCACAGTGATTAAGGCTGTATATGTTTGGCATAGCCATGATTTCCATGACCAAAAATATCACTTTTAGGGTATTGTAATAACATCATGGGGCCAGATCCCCAGATGGTGTAAATAAGCATAACTATTGAACTTTACTGAGTTGCACTGATTTACACCAGTTGAGGGTCTGGCCCATGGTCCTTTTTCATCTTAGTCTGCTACTGAGCAAGACTTTCTTCCATTAATTATTGTTATTAATAAATTTGACTATTTGTTGGGTTTTTCTGTTTTCCTGTCTTAATATGGTTTCAGACTATTGATGACAGCTGTTTAACTTTTCTAATGGAAAAAAATGTAAACAATTTAAATATTGTGTACCTCCCTCCCCCAATATTCTGAGTTTTCCATATTTTTCCGTGACAAAGCCATGGTTTTCCCATATTTGCCTTTAGAACCAGACTTAATAATGATGTACAAATAATACTACATATGACTAGTTGACACAGTAATTAGTATAGTATCTTCTTACATTCTGTTTAGGTCATAAGCGAAAATAATATGGGTGAAAATTTGGCCCCCTCAAATTCCATGAGAGTTTTGTCATTGACTTGAATAGGGTCAAGATTCCACACATGATGTTCTCAACATAGTCCTCAAGTGGACAAAACCACAATGCAAACTGGAAAAATTCAGTTACAATCCTTGCTAGTGATAGGCTAGCAAATGGAGAACAGTAATAGAACAGATTAGAGCTCAGAGGCACTGCCAAAGATTTCTGATGAGGCTTACAAAGCACCTACACATCATTCATAGCTGTAACCCCTATAATTAAAGTCTCAATTTTATCAGCACTAAACAGTTAATAAATTCTGAAAATAAAGGAACATACACATTTCTGAATATAAAAGTACCTAAACATTGTCCACTAAGAGATTTAAAAACCCCCAAACATACATATCTTTCTGCTGTGGTAGGAGATACAGAGAATTATCAGGCCTGAAGCTCTGTTAGACTGAGTTTCTTTTCGGGGAGATGGATACAGCTCTCTAATTTACCATCTGGCACCAGCTCTGATGCACAATAGGTCAGTGTACTTTTGGGAAGCTGAGGATAGATGGAACACAGTGCAAATCAGACATGCCTCTTTTCTGCCCCCAACATGCTCCCCCTCCAGGGTTGTAGAGAAGGGTGGTGCAAGGGACAGCTAAACTGACTCAGCACCTCCTGGGAACTCCTGTGCACTTCGGGAATCTCCAACAGAGGTGCTAAGACCAGATTCCATCCCTTTTGTAGCATCACACAAGAGACAGTGGGGCATCGAATCTGGCTGTTAGCATTTTTTCTTCTTCAAAATAATCCACATGACGAGAGCTCCATTTTGTAATTACTTCAGTGCTGTTTAAATAAGGGTTATAAGCAATGAGAGAAGTTGGGCATAGAAAACACTCAGCTTTCTCTCACTGACTGCAGAATACCCTGAAGTATAGTGGTCACCATTCAAAGTCAATATTCACCATCAGTCACCATACAGTGGTGTGAGAGTTACTACAGCTATTTACTGCCCTAATTAGAGGGAAAAACTGACCTCAGCTACCACAGTTTGACAGTTGTTGGTAAATGGTGACTTTTTAATAGACGAGCACCAAGTTATCTGACTGTTCTGTATACCTAAGGGATATACTGTGCAAAATCACAGTGCAGACTGAAGGTGGTGGACTTGAGCAGTTAGAGTTAAACAATATTATTCCTCTTAATTATTAAGAGTTCTAAAAAAGGACGGAGAGGAGGACTGGATTGAAAGGTAGTTTTCATTTTGCAAGTGTGTGTGGTTGTCTGGTTATCTCACTGTAAAATTGTTATTTTTTATTTTATTTCTTTATTATATTTTACAGGAAATAAATTAACTCTTTATCCAATATATTAACTAGATAGGAAATACTATTAGTCACAGACAAATCTACTTGTCTGGTAATACTCAAAATATTCACTTTTCTGTGCCTTACAGTTAAGCCTGAGAGAGAGAACTGTCACCACCAGTTTAGTTTGAAGTTTCTTGAATTTGACTCAAGAAGCTAGTTTTTGTTTAGCATGTTTGTTTGTTTGTACTCAGAGTTTTAAAAACAGATGAACCTAATAATCATTATTCTATTAAGGACTTTAAATCTGGAACATTTTTTATCTGGAAATCCAGTAACATCTGTCCAAATGCCTTGCCCTGTAGAGAGAACAAAACAGAAAATAGATTGCATTGCGTGAACCAAGTATCTAAAATTAAGTTACATATTTAAATATACCATCTTTGCAAACATATATTTTAAATTAAAAAAAGTTGTTTGAGACAAGCAGGATATCAGACTTCTACGTTACATAACATCCCTGAACTTTGGTGTATTCAAAGTCTGGATCTGAATTTTGCTGCTAAGCCAATAGCCCATTATATAATGTTACAACCAGATTTTAGGTAATTTCCTTAACCCTTGAACTGCAAATCCATATAGGTTCTCTCTTTCTTTTATTTGTTTGACTTTGCTACTCACGTAGTTTTTCCTAAGTAAAAATTAAAAACTTGACTTAAGATTTGCAACCATTTAAACTTTGGTAGGTAGAGTGAAGCTTTTCCAGTAGTTATTTATTTAAATTACTGCATACCAGGGTTCAGTGAGCTAGATCTCTTTGCTTTATAGTTTTTTTTTTATTTAGGACTCAATTATGACACCACATTCATGTTGAATTGTATTTTATTCTGTGAACAGTCCAGATGATTTCAGTGAGACTACTTGTGAAGTAAGATATTTCTCAGCATGAGTAAGGATGGCAGAATTGGGCTGTCAACACAGTGTGTGTATGGTTGGGGCTTTGTGCAATTTATGGAGGCCTCAGCCCCATAAGCCTGAGCCCTGGAAGCCCAAGTCAGATAGCATGGGCCAGCTGTGGGTGTCTAAATGCAGTGTAAACATACTTCCTGTGCCTCCATCTTCCTTTTGCACACCTACACAGGATTAACCAGAATTAAACCCTGCCTAGATTCTCAGTTGGTGTGACTCCATAGAAGTCAGTCAAGTTACACCAATTAAATATCTGATCAAAATCAATGGAGTTACACCAGTTGGGAATCTGGTCCTATGTATACCAAAATACACTCAAAACCAAGTTGTCTAGCAGACACCTGCTCTCCAAAAATGTGACTACATTTTTCTGAGTAGCTAAATTCATTAGTATGTCAGAAACGCAGCTCACACATCACAAAGCATGGCAACTTCACCTTTCATAAAGTCTGCAAATCCATCATTTCACATATAAACCAAATCTTTTCCACCAACTGAGCTATGCATCACTGCTTAGTTTTCAAACTTGGAAGAATGAATGAGAGACTGTTTTTGTGAAATTAAAAGATAGCTATTAGTCAATAGATTATTACTCCATCCCAGTGTTGGTTAAAAAGAGTTTGTGCAATATGTAGTTATAAAAAATAACTAAAATCAAAATCAGTGCCTGCATACGTACCTGTGGGTCACTTCTTAAGGATGCAATACCACCACCACCAAGGGAATTTTTCAGAACAAAGTTTAATCCGTGTATTCCTGGCAATTCATATCTTTAAAGGTAAAATTTAAAATTATGTTTGTTTTACAGTAGATTTAGATTAATTACTAGTGAAATGCAGCATTTAGAAATTGAAGATCCGAAGTAATTTTTTAAGGACTGTGATGATGCCCCCATTTTGATTCAAGCACACTAATCAGAAGGAAAAAAACCCCAAAACTCCACCTTAATAGTAATAAGGTAGGATATGAACTAGGTTGGTCTTTTCTGATTAAGCTGTACAAGAATTTTGATTATATCATGTTCCAACATTAATAAACTGAGGTTGTTTTCTGTTAATTAGGTAACAACTGTAGCCTAAGTTTGATGGGCAAATTGCAAAGTTTTAGTGCAGGAGCCAATTCAAACAGAGGGATTATAGTGTCCAGAATAGAAAGATTTGAATATTTCACAGTCCTGTTACTGAAAAAAGAAAAAGAGTACTTGTGGCACCTTAGAGACTAACAAATTTATTTGAGCATAAGCTTTCGTGAGCTACAGTTCACTTCATCGGATGCATTCAGTGGAAAATACAGTGGGGAGTCGGAGAACACTTCAATCTCTCTGGTCACTCGATTAGAGACCTAAAAGTGACAATTCTTCAACAAAAAAACTTCAAAAAAACAGACTCCAAGGAGAGACTGCTGAATTGGAATTAATTTGCAAATTGGATATAATTAACTTAGGCTTGAATAGAGACTAGGAGTGGATGGGTCATTACACAAAGTAAAACTATTTCCCCATGTTTATTTCCCCACCCCGCACCATTCCTCAGACATTCTTGTCAACTGCTGGAAATGGCCCACCTTGATTATCACTACAAAAAGGTTTTCTCCCTCCTCCCCCCCCCGGCCCCCGCTCTCCTGCTGGTAATAGTTCATCTTAAGTGATCACTCTCCTTACAGTGTGTATGGTAACACCCATTGTTTCATGTTCTCTGTGTATATAAATCTCCCCACTGTATTTTCCACTGAATGCATCCGATTAAGTGAGCTGTAGCTCACGAAAGCTTATGCTCAAATAAATTTGTTAGTCTCTAAGGTGCCACAAGTACTCCTTTTCTTTTTGTGAATACAGACTAACACGGCTGCTACTCTGAAACCTGTTACTAAAAAGTATCTGTACAGTAATTACTCATATCTCTGCTATTTCTTTGGCTAAGAATGGCTTTCATCCCACCAAGAATTCATATGCTAACAATTACTGAGAAATAACCATACTGTGATTCTGCAAATCAGTGCATAAAATTGCAGCTACTCTATATAGCACCTGGAAATATTATGGGTACATCTGTGGAGGTTCAAATGTGAACATGGTTCAAACACAAAAAGATAATGATGGATTACAATGCACATGCAGTGATACTACATCAACAAAAATATGTTACCCAGTATATTTACGTAGCATTGATATATACTGTAATTGTGTAAAATCTAAAACAAGCCTAAGAAAAGATAATATATTTGTACAATTCACTCAGTATTTTTAAAATCTGCTTTTATACATCAGAAACTCTTCAAAAAACAAATAAAAACACTTCAAAGAACATTAAGATTGTGACAGAAACTAATAAAATAAAGGAAATTCACTGTTCTAACTGAACTCCCATAACTAGGCACAATGGGGTGCCTCCTTAATTACTTCCTCTGAAGTGCAGTGCCTAGGTATTTCATTAAAGATAAGACTTTTCCATGAGTTCCCAGTTAATTTTGGCCACATTGTACTTTGCTTGTATTTTTGCTTAGTGAATTCATACATCAAGAGAAAGAGAGCACTCTTCCTAGTTAAGAGTGAGCTGGAGGTGAAATGATAGGTTTCAGAGAAGAGATGTTTGTGTAATAGTGTGGTGCAATAATATAGGAGGTTGATTATTGTGCATTAAATATATGGATAGAAATTACAGTGGATTTTGAGTCTCAGTATGTAGATAAGTATCGTTTTCTCATTGCTTAATTTTGTATAAAATGACTGATAATGTCTAGTAAACATATATCTGACAAGTATTATCTTTTTGAACATGGGAACCCTTATCCACAGAGCAAGAAAATGACCCTAGCCCAAAGAGAGAGAGAGAACTAAACCAGAAAATGCTCACAGAGCAACTTTATTACTCTCCCTCATTCAGAAAAGTAGAGACCTCAGAACTGTAACTATTTTTAATCTTGTTTCCTAAATTGAGCCATAATTCTGAATAGAACAGTTTATATGTATGTTTCTGATATTTTCCTCTACTATGGAGATATATACAATTAGAAGCATGCAGAATTAAAAGTGATAAAAGCTAGGTGTAGCTGAAGTGCTGACAGGAGGCTCAAAGAATGTATCTGATTAATAGTGTAAAAGAGGGTACATAATGAGCTAATTAAGACAAAAGAGAAGGATTTCATTAGTTTTTGAAAAATAAGTTATTATTTCCTTTTGAAGAGGGCAAAACAAAGTTTATTTCTACAGTTTTATGCTGTATTTCTAATACCTTTCTTTAAATAAATATGAATGTGCATTGTGTCCAAAGCACTGAAAAATGTAGTGATTCACAAATAACCCTTCACTGGCAGGCCAGGACAGGGAGGGAGTGAAGTGATTAGCAAATCTTTTACATCTCTAAGTTCTTTGATTCTATATGTACTACAGTGCCTTGCTAACAAATTCACACTGCTTTCAACAGCAGAATTGCTCAGACCTGTCTTTTTGCAGAGTTCCAGAGACTGGCATCCTTTTCTAGAGTTAGAGCTCGTTTCTGTGTGTGAATGTTATATCTTCCTTGCTGTCAGGAAGTATATCCAAATTTGTCTGACTATTCCATTTTGAGGATGCATATCACTTATAGAGAAGGCAAAAAGTGCAATTAATTCAAGACGAATTTGCTTTATGAGGAAAAAAGCAAATTCCCCATCTAGTTAGAAATAAGACCTTTGTTGTTATATGTTACCTGAAACCCTGAAAACTTCAGAGTGTGTGCAATTACAGGTACAATCTAACAAAAATAATTTCCCTTCCAGACTGTATGCCTATTTATTTTACCAGCCTTAAAGAAATGCCATGAAAGGCAAAATGCTGTTAACCTCTGATCTGCAATGAAGTAGAGTTATGGTTAGAACATTTTCTTTAAAAAAGTACAAAAATATTTTGGTTTTCAAATTATAATGTTCAAAAAGTCATTTGCATTTCCATATTCCCAACACTGTCTGTTTAAACAGCAAGACTGTTGGTTTATTTCTAGTTTTCACATTCATAAAAATGTTTTGTCTAAAAAGTCTAAAAAGAAACTTTCAGATCTGAAACATGTGAGCATAATCCTTATAATCTAAAAACAAAAACAAAAAACCAACTCTATAAAAGGATCCATTATTTTCCCCAGTAGCTTTTCACGCTACTCACAGAGTCCCATTATCACATCATTAAAAGAAGCCCAAACCAGAGATGATCTAATTAATCAAAATAAACTGTTGCTATCCAGAACAGAGGGAAACTTTAGCCTCTGTCAGTGAACATAAACAGCACTAAGAAACGAGCAAACCTCGATTAACTAAGCAGAAAGGACAATACCAGTGTGAGTTGTTTGATGTATGAGCAATTCTTGTAGCAGATCTATTAAATGTGTAGCATTTTTTCATTTTTGTTTTCCTCTGCCGAGTTACAGATGAAACCATTTTTAAATTTAACCCAAAACATTTATCAGTAAATTCATTTGGTAGCACTTAATAAATAGCAGGTGAGATTCTGTGCTGTCTCTCTAATGAACAGCACAGAACTCACAGCCTGGCAGGAGGGGGAGTGGAGGTGTCACTAAGGTGGACTTTAAACCTCCTCCCAATCCTGAGCTGCTCCAGGAACTAGAAAGACCCCTGGTGGAACTAAGACAGATAGAAATATGTAATTATTCTGAGGACTGTAGTCTTTGCAAATGGCTATAAAACCACCACCTTATATGGATAAGTATGGGATAAGTATGGGAAAAGTATGGGATAAGGTGGATTCTTCACCATCGTAAGGGTTAACATTTTACTTTCTTAGCTTAGATTCTAGAATACAGTTCTGAGGCAAGGGGTTGATGTTGTGACAAAATCTTCGACCATCAAACACATGGGGGCCTTGAAAAAGCAGGAAAACCACCACTGCATGTACCCTGCTCTCTGGCACAGGATGCGGTATTGTGGATGAATGGCATGTAAAGTGTACAGTTTATTTTTTACTCCAGGAAAGGAGCCAATCTGTGCTCTTTCCTTTAAATGCCAAATTCAAGTATGTAGATTTTTGCCAGAATGTGACCATTTATACTGGAGTAGAGCTGATTGAAAAAAATGTCAACAACTTTTTTTTTTTTAAATCGCAATTTGCAAATTCATCGGAATCTTCATGTTTCATTTAGACATTCCAATGAAAACCATGCAAGGTTCCATCAGGTTTCAAAGGCTGTCTGGTTTCCTTCCAGCTTGGCTTCCTGGCTCCTCAGTAACTTGTTTGGTAGGCTGAGAGGCAGCTGAGAGCCTGGAAGTCCCGGATCCCAGTATTAACAGGCCCCAGGGCTCTCAGGATCCCCAGTTCCAGGGCAGTCCATGAGATGGACTGCCAAGCTCCAGGTCAGCCTGCTATGTGGACTGTCCCAAAGCCAGGGCTTGCAAAGTCCCATCCCCTGGCCTGGCAGGGTACTGGGCCTCTGGACAACTTGGAAACTAAATGTTATTTTGATGTTTCTGACACAAAACTTCAGATTTCTGTTTTGCAGAGAATGCAGACATTTTTGGAGTTTGGTTTCAATTGGAACAAAATCAAATTCACAAATGGAATTACCATTCCACATCCAGCTCTATTCTGGAGTTTTTTAAGGTGGAGAGTGCTCAGCCTGTACATTGAATTATGCCATGCAAATGATGTATGCATAAAAATAAAGACTGCAAATCTGAATTTGTGTCTTTACATTAAGATAACTGAAAATTATTTCTCTCCTGCCATAATGCCTGGATGTGCTAATGTGGACAAGTCATAAAGATACATACCTTGAGACTAACTTCTCTTCAGGTTGTTCTCTCTCTAAAAGATGCTGGAAATAATCCTCCAGAGCTTGAGCAGTTAAAGTTTTCTTTAGGTATGGATAGTAGAGGGGATGTCGTGCTATCACACCTATTACATGTAACACAGTTAGTTAGAACACAACCAACTTAAACAAGTTATATTTTTATTCTTCAAAACTGACTGAGATCACCTGTCATTTGAAACCATGCATATGGGTCCTTGTTAATCAACAGCTACACAAAAATAGCTAGAACAACAGATTAATGCCCTGCAGTGGAGTGGAGGTCTAACTAGGTGCATGACATGTAGGAATCCTGCCGTGTGTTGTTCTTGCAACTTTTTTCTGGTTGAGGACAGTACTTGCCAATTCAGGAAGGATAAAGGACAAAGGGCAGGTAAAGGGTGTGTGGTTCTTTCCCCATGAGTAACTCATGAAGTTTGGAGAACACATTATGATTAGCCCTCAGAGCATGGTAAGATCAGTCATGGAGGTAGAGATGTATCTATGGTTTTTCCCTCTTCATGTATGAGATCTGTTATCAGGGGTGGACATAGCTCCACTGTTCTCAAGGTATAGCAGATTCCCAAAAAGTTAGTTTAACGCTACAGTGAAGCTGATGGTCTCCAGTGGGTCAGTCAAGCAGGACGTTAAAGTCTCATACTAATTCGGTTGCCTATATCAACCTTAGGGTTTGCAGACCTTGACGTTACTTTAACTCTGTAGAACAAGGACTGTTATTTTAAATTTCATTGTAGAAATATTATCTCTGAATATTTCAAGAAAGTCCATGAATTATGTCTTTCATTCATTGTTTTGCAATGCTATGAAGTCACTGTGTGTAGTTATACAACAGAAATCATCAAATTCCATCACTATTGAACAGGAAACAATTGTACAGCCAGGGAGAAGAATGTTGGTCTCTTTACAAATAAATTAATAAATAATCTACTTTATCAGTCATAGCGTGACACCTGTTAGCAAAACAAATCCCAAACGCACCTTTAATTCATAATGAGCTTTGAACATCACACACTCTCATCTTCCAACAAGTAAGAGAGCCATTTGATGCATGCAGAAGTAAGGAACAGAAGAAATTTTTTTTTAAATGCACGAAGTTGTCTAATCAATATAATGAGTTTGCAGCACAGGCATACAACACCTCTTGGTGTCAAAATGTAATTAAAACAATTACTTACATGTAAATAGAGATTTTAAATTTTCAAACAATTTATTTTTATATAGATATAGTTACACACTCTCTCACACACACACACACGTTATATGATTTACATGGGGAAAAACAGTATGTGATCATGTAATTAATCAATAATTAAAGTGCATATGCACAAGAAAATAGAAATAAGGTTGCACAGACAACCTTAATTCTGGCATTTCCTAACTTTTGAGTGCTTGACTTTACAACAACAACAACATTCTTTTAACAAAAAGAGTGTGTGTGTGTGTGTGTGTGTGTCTGGGGGTGGGAGGTATTGTATGCAATACAATATACAAATATTTTATATGTACTTTATATTTAAACACATGTTGGATAAACATCAATTAACTAAACAGCTAACACACTCTCGTGGATATTTAAAATAAACTATAGAAAAGCAAACATATTTCATTAAGAGAACACTAGTACTGATGTTACAGGGTAGATTTCCTTTTCAGCATCCAGATAATAAGGAAGGAATCAGATTACGGGGGAGATTTTCAAAGGCACAGATGACAGTTCCGCACCTATTACTGAAAGTCAATAAGAATTAGGCATCTAAGTTGCCATTTGTGCCTTTGAAAATCTTCCCTACATCACAACATTAGAATAGAAAAATACCTATATTTGCAGAGTTGCCTTTGTCCCCACTTCTAGTATAAGCAAGATCTTCTAAACGATATGTATGTGGACCACATGGCAGATCTGTGTAAAAATACAAAATAAATGATAAAATAAATACATTGTACATTTTGACGGAATAGGTGTCTTTGACGTTTGTGTACTGTCTCTAGTAGTTCCACTAAGATCAAGTTATAAAGGTTGTACTTTTAATTGTGTAGGAAATAAGGATTTTTAAAGTGAATAATATTGTATGTGTTTTAGTAATATAGTATATTGGAAATTTATTCCTTGGAGAAAAAGTGCAAGTCAGTTGGAGTAAAAGTGAATGATTGAAAGGATTAATGGATATGGGAAAATTATTGACTTCATTTCTAGACTGTCTAACATTTTAAGTTTTTTCACGCTGAAGTTTCCTAAAGGTGTAACATTTGGGGGTGGGAAAGATGGGTTAGCTGAACTCCATTAAAACACACTTTCAAACATCACTCTTTTTGAATAAATTTTTTTGTGGGGCAATCCAACCCTCTGGTTGTTTTGGCTGAATCTGCAACCCCATGAGTCATCCCACTCGTAGTCATTTGTACCTATTTCATAGTTGGTAAAGAAAACTAAATGTGGTGTTCCTTTAAAAATTAAAATATCACAGTTTTTAATTTATTTGTTGCGTGTCTGGTAACTGCATTATTGCTCTTTCCATCAAACAGTATTTTATGTGAATCAAATCTTTGGACAATGTCCCTTTAAACAAAGCAGAACTAGAAAGCGTTCTGGTGTTTCCATTGATTATTAGCTGCATTGAATGTATCTTTCATCTATTTATCAGTAAGTTGTTTTTTATTTCATAAACTTCTCAGAAAAATTACCAAAGCAGCATTCTCTCTGGAGCTAGAGCAAATCGTTAATTCCCTTTCCACCCACCCAGAGCCACAGTAAGCAGCATTGCTGAAATCCATTTTCACATATTTCCCTTATCTACTAATTTAGAGACAACTAACAGTCCCTCACACTCAAGAAAACCAAGCAACATAAGAAAAATACTTCTCAACTCCTTGCTAAATGCTGACAGAAAAAATGCCGCTAAAGTTATTCCCTTCAGAATCTACTCTGTTGGTCTAAGTCTCATACATAATGAGAACAGTTTAACTCCTCAGAAGTAGATAAACCTTGAGCCACTTTTAGAAAATAATTCACCTTTCACTCTTAAGGGCCAAATCTTACAGTTCTCACTCAGAGAAAACTGACACTGGAGTTCATTTTTGAGAAGTCAATGGGAGTTTGAATAAAGATTGCAGGATTTAGCACTTAACTGTTGATGTCAAATATCTCAGGAGTCATGATTTCTCCCTGATGCTGAGATGGCATTTGATAGCAATGAGTTTCGTTAGCATTTAGGATTAACAATTTCCTTGACAGATTGGGGACATAATAGACTGCCGGCACTTATTAAACAGGGCAATAGCTTCTTGTTTCCTAATTAGACCAAGCTGCCATTTCCTAATCTTAATTTAACTCTCCCTGGAACCCGCAGCTATAGACCAAATTCTGCCCCCAGACTAGCATTTGCATGTGATTTAAATCAGAGTTCCAAGGGTATAATTTGGTTCTATGTTAGTTATAAATAACCACATCTTAAAAAGCATCTATTTGAAATGATAAGATTTTAAATAGAGGGAGATGTTTTTAAAGGCACAAATGGCAATTAGGTACTGATCTCCGACGGACTTTCAATCCTGCCATCTTTACTCAGGCAGTCATACCCTGGTGGTGTGCTCCTCAGAATCACCCATTTTATACCTGCTCCAATACCACAGAACATTTTGGCCAGTTTTGAGAATAGTGCATCAGCTGATTTAGACCTGGTATTCAAGATACATCAAACATCTTGGCAGATATGTACTTTAGTATTTTCCTTTAAAGTGTTACGAAGAATTATATACCTTACAAAAAACAATTCTAACATGAAATCTAAAGGTTGAGAATATCTGACAACATAGAGCTCAAGAGCCTGATAGAACATCTCACATTTCTCTGGTGGGCAGACCTGAAAGAACAACAATCCTGGACTGACCTGAAAGGGATATTCAGATCTATTATACATTATTAAAATGCAGTGGGTAATTTTGTCAATAAATAGTGTTATGAAAAGCCTACAGTTCCCAGGTAATTGTTACTTTCAGGATAACTAGCAGCCCATCACTATGACTTTCAGTACCATACACTCCCATCACTTTTAGCTCTGAACCCCAAATTCTCAAAATATATTTATTTTTACAGAAAGTTTTGTCTTGAGGAGAGATAGGTCAGGCTCAGTCACTGCTTTGCCCTCCTTGAATTTCTTTAGCACTCCCTCAAAGAATTTGATTAGATAAATTTGACAGGAACACAGGAATTGGTTTCCTGTGAACGCCAGGTTTGTCTGACATAGGGGTGGCCTCATAGTGGCCCTTTTCAACTTCCAGGCACTCGGAGTTTCCCTCTTCCCAGGGGCCGATTGCCTGCCCACATTCTCCTGTGGAAAGCTGCAGTACAACAGATAAGTCTGTTTCAGTTTCCCCTTTCTTCCTGAGTCCACAGTAACTCCATGCAAGTTTTTCGAGTATAACTAGCTCTTTGGGGTAATTTATTACAAAATTCCCACAACCATAATTCAGAATTCTCCAGCACAGTCCGAAGAGTACATTAAGTCTTTCAAGTCCCAATAGTCCATTGACACATCCAGTAGGTGTCTGGTGTCTCTCATCATGCTCCAGCTGTCTAGTACAGCTCCAGCATCTCTCACCCTGCATAGACTCTCAGGTATGGCTCTGGCATCTCTTATTGTTTCACCTGCCAGGTATGGCTTTGGCATCTCTCACCATCCCTTACCCTACCCCTGTAGCTGGGGTGGTCTCATCCTTGTTTAATTCTCAGGTCTGGTTCTAGCTTTCTCCTGGAAACGTCAGCTATTTCACTTCTCCATCGTTCCCCAAACTTCAGGCCTCTCTGGCTGTCTCTTCTGGTCATGGCTCTGTGGCCTGGGGAAGTTTGTTGGTGACCCCCTGACTGCCTTCTGCTTGCACCAGCCTGATCTGGCTCTACAGCTCAGCCAAAGAACTCATGCTACTCTTTCCAGAGGAAAGTTGGTGTGAGCATTTTTTGTTCCTTATTATCTTTCCATAGTGGTAAATGGAATCCTGTGGGTGAGAATGAATGGGTTGTAAAAGGAGGTGAAAAGCTTGTACATTTCAACAACTGTGGGACTGGCAGAGTAAAGATGTGAATGTTAATAGGGTGTATTGGATTGCTGAAAGAGGGCAGAGTTACAGTTACATTAGCAAACAATGCTGTATTTCCTGGTTTTCAAAAGGTGCTCAATTCAGCGTTCTGCAAGTGGATGACAGACCACAACACAGAGGTAGTTTTGCTTCAGCAGTTTGTTGCCATTGAATTTCCTAGTTTTCTGAACAGGGAAAGATATGTTGTTGGTAGGAGTTAGTCATTTCGGTAGTTGTAAACATCACATCCTCCAATTTGCATACCAAACCAACCAGGCCCCCCTCCATCACCTGTGCCTATGCATCCCACAATGCACAGCAAGATAAATCCCAGAATGCAAACTGCTCAGCAGTGAAGCAAAAGGAGCACGGGATATCTTGGGAATGCCATGCTACTCCTGTTGATTTACTGCAATTACTACTGTCCAGGTAAAATGTCAATGTGTAGCCAATATTTCAACTTAGTAAGCGTAATTAAATTTACGAAAAAGAATAGAGTAATCTTAGCAGTGCTTTGAGATCTACAGATGAAAAATGCCATATAAGAGCTAGGTACTATTATGAGTACAAGAAGTTTGGAAGAACAAAAGCGAAGTAAATAACCATTCTTTTTCCAATATATATCCTCAGGTCAAATTATAAATGAAAATTAATGATGTATATAAATTTGTTTTATTTTCCATCCCGTTTGGCTTCTTTTTCAAACAGAGGCCCTCAGGTAGATAATCCAGGAGTGTATTTTGCTCAGTAACATGTGACCAGACATGTATAACAAAGTGTATGTCTACACTGCAATTAGCAGGTGTGACTGAAGCCCAGGTAGCTGAAGATCTGAGCTAGCTTTGATCTAACTAGCTCAAGTGTGATCACAGCAATGAAGCTGAAGCAGCACAGGGCCCTCAAGTGTACTCATGCTCGAGTAGCTAGCCTATGCTGAAGTCTGTACTGCCTGACTTTACTGTATTATTACTCAAACCAGCTAGAGCAAAGGTAGCTTGAGTATGCCTATCCATGCTGCAATCACACCTCTGTGGTATAGACATACCCAAAGGGACTCATGTCTCAAAGGCTGGGGACTCTTACAGAGTCAAACTAAGTGGTTAGCCACATGGCTTTTTGTCTGTTCTACACCATCTTTTCTCCCACTTCTCTCACTACATGTAGGTGTCACACTCCTGTTTCAAGCAGGAGGTGTTCCCAGTGCAGTGCTTTCCACTCTCTGTCCCCATTAGAAAAAGGTTGTTCTTGACCCTGCATCTAACACGTGGACAGTGCAATGGGCCACACAAATCAAAACTTTATGCATGTATTTCTCATTACATTGAGGTTTACACAGAGAAGATGAATACCTAGTAAAAAATATAAATCACAGCTAGAGAGAAAAAAGTCAATAATATTAAAGACAAATATACCTTTTAACTCATCATCAGTCTTTGGTGAATCAAGTGAGACAACTGCATCTGACGTAAATGTAAGATCTTCCTGAAATGTTTCAACATGCTGTCCATTCAAAAAGATGTTGATCTGAAAAAAAATACCCATTTTTAAACTATTAAATTACACAAAGAGAAATTCAGTGCAATGCATATGAATTTTATTAAACTTTCTGCTTTATAATTCTTTATTCCTAAAACCCATCTTCAAATGTGGTTGAAAGTGTGATAGACTATACGGCTTATTTTAATACAGGAACATAGAGCTTGCCTTACCACGTTAAACAAAGGCTCCATCTAGTTGGGTATCTTATCTCTGACATGGCTAGTACCATATGCTTCAAAGGAAAGTGAAAGAAATGCCATAATGAACAATTACAATACCTATAAAAGGACATATATTTCCTAGCCCCAGGAAGTTAATGGTTGGCTTATGCCTTGAAGTCTGAAAGTTTATAGCCCTTAAAATTGTTGATAATATGTTTCATACCTGTGAATGTTCTCATGCATATTCATGACAAACCTCTTTTTGAATCCTAAGTTCTAACACCTAATGATATTTTATGGCAGTAGGTTTCACCGATTAATTTTTGTGCAAAATAAAAGGAAATCCTTTTATTAATTTTCAGTGTGTTGCCTTTCAGTTCTATTAGAAGTCTTTCATCATTCATGACCAAGTTCACTATTATGACAAGAGCAGTAAATCTCTGTGTATGTATTTATTTATTTATCAGTGGAAACTAAATTAATACCTAAACTACTTACAAGAAGTTTAATAAACGTAAGTGAGAAGCAAGTAGGTCTTCTAGCATGCAGTTCAAACCTTCCAAAAGCAGCATCTTAGGAAAGGTGTGCACAGAGGATCAAATGCCTTTTTTGCAGAGCTCATAAAATACAAAGGATTTCTCTACCCATTGACACAATTCTGATCTAATGTGCATTTGTTGTTTTGTAAGCTTCAAAATGTATAGTTTTAAACATCAAGAAATTGTGGATTTCAAAGTTTTAACTGCAGGCTGACAGAAGATGAATTGGAAATGAATTTCTGAGGGCTTTAGTCCTTTTTAGATCAATTAGGACAGCGCTTATATTTTTTCCACTAGGATGAATGATGGTAAAAGGAAGGATAAACTACACTTCTTAAGCATGATGGAAAATTGTGTCTATCTTAGGGATAAAGACTGATCTGGATGAAGCACTATTTTTCATTACAAGTGAAGTACTGAAATTCCACAAATACTCTCTTTAGTTTGGAAATGTACCGGGTTGAGATGACTGCCACGACAAATGCCACTTTAAACAGAAAGACAGTACAAGAAGCCTAATGTAGAGATCCAAATGATGTTTTGGTGAGAGCATCTAGAACTAAATTCAAGGAGCAACTCAGTATCTTTCTTGTGGGTTAAAAAAAGTATTGTAGTTCTTAGGAACCTTTTGACAGGATGAGCTTTGGCTGATTTATTCCTAGAACGATGAAAACAGTTGAAGCATGTTGCAAAGTATGCTCACCTTCAGTCCCAGGAAAAGTCCATTTTAAAGGAAATATTTTATTGGGGCAATATTGGGTGACTTAGCTTTATGCTTTCTAGCTCTGTACCCACCATGCATTGACCTTCCTCCATATTCTGCAATATAATACAGTAATCAGTTGCTTCCTGGAAGACAATTTTTTTTTGTCATTTGGACAGAGTAACTTCTCTCTTTCTTCTCTCTGGGGACAAGTCTCCTCCCCTGAATCATTAGGCAGGTGTCAAGGTTCCTTCCCCACTCTGAACTCTAGGGTACAGATGTGGGCACCTGCATGAAAGACCCCCTAAGCTTATTCTTACCAGCTTAGGTTAAACACTGCCACCACCAAAGTGTTACACAAAGAACAGGGGAAGTGCCCACTTGGAAACGTCTCCTCCCAGAAATATCCCCCCAAGCACTACACCCCCTTTCCTGGGGAAGGCTTGATAAAAATCCTCACCAATTTGCATAGGTGAACACAGACCCAAACCCGTGGATCTTAAGAACAATGAAAAAGCAATCAGGTTCTTAAAAGAGAATTTTAATTAAAGAAAAGTAAATGAACCACCTCTGTAAAATCAGGATGGTAAATACCTTACAGGGTAATCAGATTCAAAACAGAGAATCCCTCTAGGTAAAACCTTAAGTTACAAAAAGACACAAAAACAGGAATATACATTCCATTCAGCACAACTTATTTTATCAGCCATTTAAACAAAACAGAATCTAACGCATATCTAACTAGATTGCTTATTAACTCTTTACAGGAGTTCTGTACTGCATTCCTGCTCTGGTCCCGGCAAAAGCATCACACAGACAGAGAGAACCCTTTGTTCCCCCGCCTCCAGCTTTGAAAGTATCTTGTCTCCTCATTGGTCATTTTGGTCAGGTGCCAGCGAGGTTCTCTTAGCTTCTTAACCCTTTACAGGTGAAAGGGTTTTTCCTCTGGCCAGGAGGGATTTAAAGGTGTTTACCTTTCCCTTTATATTTATGACAGCAGGTGTGACGAGAGTCAGGAGAAAGGGTGGCTGAGGCACTGAGAGAGAGAGAGATACTGAATTTTCTTCATGTTGAGATGAAAATAAAAGTGAAATATAAATATTCATGTTGTTTATCTTGGGTGAACAGAACATGAAAAGGAGAAACTCCCAGGAAACTCAGATCACCAAAACAAGGTTGTCTCATTTAAGTATGACGTAAAAACTCATTGTCTAGTTGGAGACCAACCACGTTCAGACTGAAAAAAATTTGCTAGGGCACACCAGTTAATGTTATCCATTTCTCTTGTTGAAATATGTCACAGAACGCTGCCTAACGTTGGACTGAAGACCACGAGAGTATTGTTTGGTAAGCTGTAGTCCGTTTGGAGCAGCACATAAAATTTGTGAACTTTTAACAAGATCTCTAAAGCTTACATGAAGAGCTCATAAGTAATAAAATATTCTGGAAAAACTATTCTTGCCTTAGACATTTTTGCTGGAATTTTGGTGAGTTCTTTTAAAAGTTAGGTTGACAAATGCTTTCAGGTTTTTTTAAACGAATGTAGTCAAATAAGGCCATCTTCTAACAAAAGTTAGGTAACTTTTTCAGCTGTAAAGCCATAAATGCTGTTTGCTCAGTTGGAACAACTGCATGTGAGCAGAGAAATAAGCAAGACAACAATCCTCATTTTTTACCAAAAAAGGAAACAAAAACTAATTTCCTGAGCACAAAACAAGAGACTCTATCGTAGCAACATTAAAACATTCAAAAATCTCCTTATGTAATACTTTCTTTTTTAGGGCAAATGCTGAAGTATGTTTATTTCAATGGGCATCAGACTCTCCCTAAGTAAACTCCTACACTATAGAAGAAGTTAATCCATCCCATATCCGTGCTACAGTCTACACATAGACCATTACTGTTGATGCATGACTCCAGATTCTGAACCGAAGACTTGTATTTATGAAATGGCATGCTCCAATGATGGTAGGTCACATACAGTTTCATTGTTGGTTAAATGTATCAATGTATCAAATAGAGAATGTACATGAGATGAGGCTGGGTGAATGAGTAAGGTTTTTGAGGTCCTCTGTTTGAGGAAAGAAGAAGTAGAAAGCTGTTGCTTTTCCTTCTCTGCTAGGCTATGTCTACACTTGCAGAGTTTTTGCACTGTAAGTTTCACTGGTGATAAGGAACTGGTGAAAGAAAAGTGCTGGTTTGTGTTCTCACTTACTTTCACAGGCGTCAGAGTGTGTTTACATTAGCAGCACTTACATCGCGTACTTTAGGGGGGAGGGATAGCTCAGTGGTTTGAGCTTTGGCCTGCTAAACCCAGGGTTGTGAGTTCAATCCTTGAGGGGGCCATTTAGGGATCTGGGACAAAAATTGGGGATTGGTCCTGCTTTGAGCAGGGGGTTGGACTAGATGACCTCCTGAGGTCCCTTCCAACCCTGATATTCTATGATTTACAGTGAAGCTCTCTCCAGTTTGACCATGGGTCTTGTGGGAAGGGGGGTGGGGTGATCGGGGAGCATCCTGGGTCCCTGCACAGCCTCCTCTCCCCAAACACTGATCAGCTCCAGTCGCTCAGCATTGCTCCAGGCAGGGGATTGTTGGCTCCGTGGAGCAGGCACTGTCACCTGGCCAGACAAATGAGCACGTGCCAAGAAAATAGGAAGGGGAGTTTCAAAGTTCCCCTGGGGCTTTACAGGGGGAGTGGGGTGGAGGTCTGTTTACCTGGCAACAGAGCTGCTGGCTAGAGTGGTCACCAAGGCACTGTGGGATATCTTCCGGAGGCCAAAAGCCGTCTAAACAGGAAGAACGTTTCTTAACTTGCACATCACCGCAGAAGCATCACTGGTAAGAGCTGTACGCCTCTCATGGAGGTGGGTTTCTTTTTGCAGTGAACCTTCTGCATTTCACTGCAAAAAAGTCATTGGCAAATGTAGACGCTCCCATGGGTTTTGCGCAAAAAAGGGACTTTTTCCCCACTTTACATGGCAAGTGTAGACATGCCCTTATTAGATTACGTTACTATTTAATTTCAATAGGCATTTTACCAAGCGTGGACAATAATGAACAATTTTAGGTTTCATCTGATCAATTTAAACAGTAATAGGCTAAGGTCTATTGTACATCAGATTTGGCAACAACAAGATATTTCATAAAATACCTTAGGCTGTATTGACAGTCATTTAAAATTTAATCTTTAGTAGAGGCATACAGTGTACTGAACTACTGTTTTATCAAATCAAGTCAGAATTCATACAGAGTGAACAAATGTGACAACCAGCCTGCTCCTTTTTCCGCTATTGCAGTTCAAAAATTGCTTACAGTATTTTAATTACTATTAAAATTACATTGCAGCAATACTTCAAAAAAAACCCAGTCGGAATCTGGGCCCTATTGTGCAAAGCACCGTATAAACTCACAGACGTGGTCCTGGTCTTAAAATGCTTACAATCTTTCCGATTGTTTGCACATAACAGTCTCCTCAGTTACACCTGGATCAGGATAGCGAACCTGACACTTTGTTGTAATATTGCTGTGTTAGATTTGCCTTGTAACCATTTAGAAAAAGGCATTTTTCTTCTATTAAAGAAAAATATTTTTACCGTGGCAAAACTTTTTTTTAAGCTTTCAGCAAATCCTGTAAAAATATTAATTCAATTGTTTTGCTAAAGGTGTAATGTTTTTCACAATTTCTAGTTTGCTTTTACTTCTTTCATTTCCTGCCTTTGGCCATCTCCTCTAGCTTTCCCATCTTCACACCATTTAGAAGACCATCACCGTGGAGCTTAAACTTTAGCCAAAGGTCAATATATGTTGGTCTACCTCATGATATTGGATAGGCCAAGAAGCTTTTGTATCAGCTGCAATTTCACTTAGGATGCCTCATTATGAAATTTAAGTAATAGCCAAAATTTAAGGAGCAAGTTGAGTAAATGATCAGGAGGAGGAAGGGTATATATGCAGTTTGGTCTTCAGTCTCCACAGGGTAAAGGAACTAGTTCCTATCTGAAGAGCAATGACCAACGCTTTCTTAGAAGAATAAGTACATTATATTCACAAAAAGACTAATCTCCTGTTCCAGCTGGTCTCACAAAGACCTAAATCTACTGCATGGAAGTGCAAGCATAACAAAAAAGATGTGGGGCTACATCACATCAAGTATGTCATCCCGTGAGCTAAAGGGTAATTTCCAGCTTGTATAGACATACCTGTGCTAACTCTGAGTTAGAGCACTAAAAACAGAAGTATAACCATGGTGACATTACAGGTGGGATGGACTAGCCACCCCAAGTACAATCCTGTCTGAAACCCTAAGTATGTAATTGCTCAACTAGCCTCTCCCACCACTTGCAACGCAATGGCTACACTTCTACTTTTAGTGTGCTAGCTCGATTGAAGTTAGTGCAAGTATGTCTACCTCCATCTCTAGTGTAGACATACCCATACCCACTGTAATTCTTCAGATCAAGCTGTCCAATCACCTGAACATGAACTCCACAGGCTGAAGAAAACTCTTACTGTGAACTAAACATGACCTATGGGACGTAGTTTGATCTTTATTCATAGACATTTCTATGGAACTCCTCACTACTGTGGTATCTGAGTGGAGTTTCTCACAAACATTCTTTATTTTAGTCTTATAACGCCCCTATAAGGTAGCGAATTACAATTCCCATTTTTACAGATGAGGAACTGAAACCCAAAGGGCCCGACTCTTCTCTCACTTAGACAAGTTTACACCAGTGTAGCTCTATTGATTTCAGCAGTCACTCCTGACTTGCACCAGTGTTCATAAAAGTACAATCAGACCCAAAGAGATTAAAAGATTTGCCCAAGGTCACAAAGGATTAGAATCCAGATCTCCTGATTCCCAGTTCACTACCTTTACAACAAGGCCACTAATTTAAGCCAATATATTTATGAACTATAATGTTTGCAGTGTTGCTGTAGCCACGTTGGTTCCAGGATATGAGAAACACAAGGTAAGTGAGGTAATCTCTTTAATTATTGTCTCTCTCATAAAACTATCTTTACATTCAAGTGTATATCCAAAGACAGGAGTCCTAGAAACCTATTGAGAGAAATCTAGTGTTTCAGTAATCACTAGAAAAGAAGTAGTTTAAAATTAATCTATGATAGATGGCTATAACACTTTTTGTGGCGCAACAATCTGCTACGAAAATATACTTTTCATAAATCTCACTAATAGATTTTGCAGCTTTAAGACCTGATTCTTTCCCAGTGAAATCAATATTATCTTTCCATCGACTTCACTGAGAACAGGATCACATCCTTAAGGAGTAGTTCTTACCTTGACATTTCTTTTGGGATAAAGGAAGAAAAATGGTTTCAGAACTGGAGACCTGGACATACAAAACAACAAATATAATTAATATAAATAGAAATGAATGCAAATGTCAGCTTATTCATCTTTAAGATCATTCGGCATTTGAAAATCCACAGTATAGGAATTAAAAGCTATGATCAGAAGTGCTTTTCTGAGCTATTTTGGTACATCTGAAAAGTGTAGTAACTCCCTAGAAATACGACTGAAATGCCTTATTTCTTATTAAGGAAGTGAAATAAAAAAGGGAAAGAAAAGTGTCAAGGCAGCTTTAAATGGTGGTATTGATATGCTTATAACACAAAGGATGACCAATGAAAATTCATGCACCTTCTGAATATCTGTCCAATATGGTATTGTATTTTGCAGGTGGTTAGGTAAAACTGATACAAAGATATGCTCAGAGTAAGTTTATGGTTGGTAAAGATAGTACCCAATCAGAGTATCCTGACCACCCGAGGAGTTTCTACTATAATTGTTCACAGTTAGAAGTAACTCTTCTCATGAGTAAGAACAGAAGTGTGAGCTTGTACATTTAAAAGAAAGATTTAAGTCATCAACTGTTTTAAATATGAAAAAAATACTGATCCCAAACCAGTTTATAGGGATGCTCACAATTACTCTAAACCTAATCTGCTTCATAGCTTTCAACCTATGATTGCAAAAGGAGACCGTTTTGAAATCATAAATGATCTAAGTACAGTTCTTAGCTGGTATAAAAAGAGCCAATTCCAGCTGAAACAAAGTTAGCACAGTTTTCCTTATGGCTCACCTAGTAGAGATGTTGCTACTAAGACCCTGGATAGAGTCTCATCTGAGGTAAATATGGTGTCTCCAACAACCACATACAGAAGTCTGCTAATTTAACAAGAATTTTGCAGTATGATTGTTATCTTGTGACCAGTAGTAGACATAACACAAGACACAACTGGACTTTTTTTTTTAAAGGATACTATATGCACACAGTAAAACAAGGGAAGATCAGAAGTGAACTTACACTCTTGGACGTCCTCCAACAACTGCTGTAAGACCAGGTGCTAAAAATTGAAATAAAATAAATCAAAACGGGTTAATTTCTTAATAGATTCCCCTCCCCCGCCCCAAACAACTGTAGTTCAGATATTACTGCACCCTGAACCCTTCCTATGATTTCCTTTTACAAAATGCTGGGGAGATTGTGTGTAGTAACTCCCTAGAAATATAATGACTGAAATGTGTGTTACACCAGACATGCAAAACAAAATGTTTTCATGAAATTGATGAAAGAAATTGAGATTTTCACAAAACATCTGAAATGGTTTACAAACATTCATGAAAGTCCCTAATCATATATATGAATTTATTTTCAAAACCTAAACACATATATAAATTTGTGAGAAAAAAGAACAAATATTTGTTAAAAAGACAGACAATTCTAAAGTAAACTGTGGTTTGTTTAATGCAAATAATTGTTATCCTATTCATGAATATTATAGAATTGTGAACAACTTTTGCTCTTTATTTTTGGAATGACTGACACCATACATACATAGCATTGGTAAATTATAGCCATACGCCACAGGGAAATGTTTTACTGGTTAATTTTTACCTAGAAATCAATCAATTAGTAAAGCATTAGTAAGAAGAGTCCTTAAGGTATGTCTGCACTGCAGCTGGGAGCAAGCTTGCCAGCCCGGGTTCATGCTAGCATGCTAAATATAGCGGGGTAGATATTAGGTGCAGGGGGTAGGGTGGGTCCAAGCTTGGGTGGATAAGCCTGAGTCTCCATCTGTGTCCCAATGTCCACACAATTACTTTTACTGTGCTAGGGCAAGTCCTACTAGCACAAATCTGCCTACCTGGGCTCAGAGGCTTGCTTCTTGCTGCAGTGTAGACATACTTTTAAAGAACTGTGAAAAGCAACATGTGCTTTGGTAGATTAATTTTGAAGGCATGCAGCAGTGTATTTCAACTTAGTCTTTACATGACAGCATCCTCTGAAGAACATTTAGAGAAATATGAGCACCTTTCAAATCTCTAATTGCTTCCAAAAGAAAGCTAGTACACCATTTTTAGACAGCTAAGCTTTCAGTTTGGAACTTCAGTTACTTCTAGCACATTAGCTGAAGTTGATTTCTATGTAGTTATAATTTAGGAGTCCTGTGACAATGCCATCCCTAAGTCTCAATGATATTTACTATTAAGAATTCATGGATTCCAAGATTACAATGCCAGAAGGGAGCACTGCAATCATCTAACCTGACATCCTATATCATACTGGCCCCATGACATCCATGAATTAATATGTTTGAATTACAGTAGTTAAAAAAACATCCAATCTTAATTTAAAAATTGCCTGTGATGGAGAATCCACCACAAGTCTTGGTGTTAACCATTCCAATGGTTTATTATATTCACTGTTAAAAACTGTGCCTTATTTCTAGTCAATGTGTCTAGCTTCAACTTCCAGCCATTGGATTTTATTATATTTTTGTCTGCTAGATTGAACATCCCATTATCAGTTTTGTTCCCCATGTTGGTACTTACAGACTAATCAAATCACCCCTTATCCTTCTTTTGGTTAAACTAAACAGATTGAGCTCCTGGAGTTTATCACTATAAGGCAAGTTTTCCTATCTGCAAATCATTCTTGTGGCTTTTCTCTGAACGCTCTCCATTTATCAACAGCCAACTTCAACTGTGGACACCAGAACTAAACACTGTATTCCAGCAGCAGTCACACCAGTGCCACATACACAGGTAATATTACCTCCTTACTTCCACTCAGCATTCCCCAGTTTATATATATGCAAGGATAACACCAACCGTTTCGGCCACCGCGCCGGGAGCTCATGTTCAGCTGATTGTCCCCAAGGACCCCCACATCTTTTTCACAGTCACTGCTTCCCGAGGTAGAGTCCCCTACCCTATAAGTATGGCCTAAGTTCTTTTTTCCTAGATGTATAATTTTACATTTGGTCACTCTAAAATGCATATTGTTTGCTTCTACCCAGCTTGCCAAACAATCTAGATTGCTTTATATCAGTTACCGGTACCCTTCATTATTTACGACTCATTCCAAACTTAGTCATCTGCAACCTTTATCAGTGATGATTTTGTGGGTTTTTTTCCAGGTCATTGATAAAAATGTTAAATAGCTGGGGGCCAAGAACCAATACCTGCAGAACCCTAACAGAAACACACCTGATGATTCCCTGTTACAAATACAGTTTGATTTAGCTGCCTCCTGAGCTGCCTCTTTAGCACAGAGTGACAAAAATATATCCTCTATTTAGATCTGTTAACTGATCCATCATGAAGTGCTGATCCCAGACAGGATCAGCTTTCTCAAATATGGAACAAGCTCATCCTCAAGTAAGTCTCTTGGAATAAAGCACTGTTGTTCTGAACATGTGAGATATTAGTGCTTTAAAGTGCTGAAGCGCTGCCAACAGACCTTCTTAATTAAATTCCTTTACAACTTCAATAGCTCTTTTATCTAGATCACCATGTGTAACGAGCCCCACAAGGTAAACCTCATCTAGTTTTTCAGCAACTTGCAGTTGTAAATCAGCATCAAGCAAAGTCTGGAAATGCTCAGAATGGGTAAAGGTAGCAGAAGTATCCATTGGCTCTTCAGTACCATTCCCATTAACATGTTCAGTAGCCATGTTTCCGGATATATGTTGGTGTGGGGGGAAATGCCAGGCAAAACAGGCTCAGGGTGCAGCTGGCAGCTCAGAGTGCTGAGGAGCTGCCCCCTGTGCACCCTCTGTGTGGCAGACAGTGTTCTCCAGCTCGAGTAAAATGGCTGCCACTCAAGTGTTCATGTTGCTGCTGGCACCAACTCCAGCCCCTTCCTCTCAGCACAGAGGGAGGATGTGTGTATTTCCTGTGGAGATAGGAAAGGTCTTTTCTACAGTTCTACAATCTCTTCATGAAATCATTAACCCTTATTTGCAATAAACACAGCTCAATTCAGAACTGAATTCAGCTGTTTCACAAAAATCTGTTCAAAGGATGGTAGTTTGATGGTTCTCAGTGATAAAAGCTTTGTTGTAACTACACTGTGTGTCATACCCAGTCTGATCAGCACTTGATGAATACAGTAAAACTGAATTTTTAAGAAGCACCTCACCCCGACTTGGAGATAATTCAAGGAATCAATCTCTTTACCTATTCATAATACTAAAGAGTCATCATGTGATGTGTAGTACATTTTAACTTGCAAAACCTGTTGTGTAAATTTGACTAAAAGCAGCTCAGCAGTAGCCACTCATTTGTTTTACACAAGCTTCAAATTTGGTGTATTTTGAATAAAACTCATCTGAGTATTTAATTTTGACTCAAATGCATTATCTTTCGTTTATTTCTTCTAAGACTCTACTTCCTATTTATTTGTATTATAGCTAAGGAGCATGTTGTAGCAGATGGATATATGTCTATATTAAATTGTAATCTGCAAATGACAATGAAACTGCCATTTTGAAGCATGTGACCTACATTTTGAGTGTATAATTAACTGCCTAGTGCTACAAAGAACAGAACCAAGGACAGCTTATAATGCATGACACCTCTCTGAAGGGCTAACACAGGAGATCAACTGTGATTGTTTCCCAGTCAAGAGATTCACCCCGGTTTTGCCAAAGAGCTAGGCTGGAGGAAAGGGGTTTTTGCAGTTCAGACTCTGTGGGACCTTGGTCTTCCTGGCTAACGAGCTGCAGCTGATCAGTTGGTCACATGGCAAAGGGGACAGAATCTTTATTTAAAGGCAGGATCTGCTCCAGACTCTCTCTTTCACTGTCTGACCATCACCTGCCAACAGAAGAACTGCAGGAGGCAGGAAATACTTTCCTGACACACTGACTGGTCTAGGACTCACAAGAAGAAGTGAACATAAACTTAGGAGACAGAGCATTTAGGCTTCTGTAGTTTTTCTTAAAGATTTGTATGCTTTAAAGCAGGGGTGGGCTAACCACAGCCTGTGGGCCAGATCCGGCCCCTAGGGCTTTGGATCCGGCCCGCGGGATTGTCCCTCATGGTGCCGCAGGCCCCGCACCCCCCCCCTCAGAAGTGGCCGGCACCATGTCCCTGCAGACCGGGGGGGTGGGAGAGGGCGCAACAGAGGGCTCCATGAATTGCCCTTGCCTCCAGGCACCGCCCCCGCAGCTCCCATTGGACAAGAATGGGGAACCACACCCAATGGGAGCTTTGGAAAAGGTACCTGGAGGCACAGCAAGGGCAGCGTGAGGAGCCCTGTGATCTTCCCCCCCCAGGGGCCATTGTGCTGGCTTCTTCCCAGAGCAGCGCAGCATGAGGCCAAGGCGGGCAGGCAGGGAGCCTGATCTGGCCCCGGTGCACGCCGCTGCCACCCTGGAGCTGCTTTAGGTAAGCGGAGCCAGGCCAGAGCCCGAACCCCTCCTGCACCCCCCCAACTAACTGCCTGCACCCCTCCTACACCCCAACCCCCTGCCCTGAGCCCCCTGCTGCATCCTGCATCCCCGCACACCCTGTCCTGAGCCCCCTGTTGCACCCCACACCCCTCCTGCACCCCAACCCCCTGCCCTGAGCTCCCTCCCGCAGTCCACACCCTCCTCCACCCCTTCCCTGAACCCCTCCTCTGCCCCAATCCCTTGCCCTGAGCCCGTTCCTGCACACCACACCTCTCCTAAACCCCACACTCCCTCCTGCACCCCAACCCCCTGCCCCACATACAATTTCCCTACCCTGATATGGCTCTCTGCCCAAAAAGTTTGCCCACCCCTGCTTTAAAAGTAAAATTTACTGTGCTGCAGAAACTAGTGTATGAAGCCTGTGTTCCCTGCTTTACCTGCCATGCAGCCCTCAAAGAGTTAAACTATAAACTGCAGAGCCCCTGGTGAGGTGGACCTTTGGGAGCAGCATGCATAAGCGATTGGAAAGGCTGCGGGGAGGGGTTCAGCACTGGTTTCAGAGGGTAGTTGGACTGTGAAGTCCCATGTCCTAAGGTAGAATGTCAGGTAAGGAATCTAGAGCCCAAAGCCTGCTTTGGAGGCCCAGAGCTAGAAACAGTGCCAGACTCTGCCTAGACCCCACTGGTTTAGAAGCATGTGGGTTTCAAAGGTTGGGTCCAATTACATCACACCAAGCAGCCAGATCTGTAACATGCATTTTATTATTATTTTAAACAATTAGGGTAAGGGACTAGGCTGAGTGACTCCATGGAGGAGATGATATTGGCACTCAGAAAAACAATGTCTAACCGCCGTTTAAAATTCAAAAATTGTTTATTCTTCGCAATAGCAATGACAACAATGTTAATCTACCATATAAAAAGCATCTATAAACTATCATCTCAATCCTGCAATCTGTTCCATGAAGGCAGACCTGTGAGTATATGTACGACTCTATTACCTTTCATGGGACTCTTTACCAGTACAAGAGTCTGTCCACACAGATCAGGTTGCAGGATCAGGACCTCCAAGTACAGTTTATTTAAAAGCAGCAGTTATGACTGACCATTGTTTGCCAAGGTACTACTTATGTAATTAGCCACCAAGAAAAGTTTGCCTTTTCTATTACTGTATTGAATGTTCATGGCAGTTTAAAATTTTTTAAAAAGTCATCCATTGATAGACTCAGCTGTGTTATTCTACACTTTATAACTGTGGCTCTCATGCGGAGCCCAGCGCACTTGATTAAGAACATATCTCTGTATGACGGACCCATATTACAGATGGTAATTTGAAGTGTAGGTAATATAAGCTATTACATATAGGGTGATTTCTACCTGAGGCCAGTTTACAACAGCTGCTACTGGCTTGGCTTCTTGGTGATGCACATACAAATCCAACTAGCCAGCTGAGAGGGCTCTAGTAACTGGATATGTATGTCCTATCTAGTGGTTAGCCACAGGTTGACAAAGATAGCAAGCTTTTGAAGAATACCTGATAGGGGTTTTGATGTTAGAAACAACCTGAAGGGTTAAGGCCTATTATTTATTTCACTATAAAATTACATTGTGCAATGTGAAGTTTTATTAAAAATATATATTATATCTTCACTAAAATGAATTTAAAGTATATTGCATAAAGAAGTAGAATTAGCAGGCAGCATGTGAAGCAGTTTCTTACTTATATTATATTTAAACTTGCTTGGAAGATCCAATTTAGATACAGTTCTATACATATATTTGTCCTATGTTCCGTCAAAAGCAGTGGCTGGCTATTGTAGTCACTCTTAAAATACAGAAGAACGACAGCTATGTTACTGCACAAGACTTGGTTAAGACTTTTTCAAGATGGCAAGAATATCACTTGTGTTTGAGAGCTATCTGCATTTAATAATCTCTACACACAGCAGAGTTTAAATTAATTTACTTTATCAACCTATCTTTGGATTGTCATATGGACAATTTCCTGGTAGGATAATTTGTGATTAAGGATACCAGATTTTGCTCTGAAATAAATGTTAACTTCCTGAAAAGTCTACAAAGAAAACTTTTCACCAGCATGCTCTCAGACAATTTCATTTGACTTTCTATAACCAAGTAGTTGTCTAACCATCCAAGAGAATAACTGATCAGAGGGCAACAAAGTATTCTCACACCTTGGAACTAAGAGCTCCTGCTATTCCAAAATTGTCTGCTACACTGGTTTTGCAACGTTCAACCTACACACTGCATCCTTTTCTATCACCAAGCCTGTCTCAGTAGGCATTGTAGAATAGAACTGCACAGCTAATCTACAAATCCAGATTTTAAAGATTTATTTATTTTAATCCTGGAATCTCCATAGCCATTATTTATACTAACACTAATGAATATTTACCTGGAAGAATTTACTTTACATATAAACTAATATTTAAATAAAAGATTAGATTATAATTATTAGGAAGAGAAGCCAAGTCTTAAACAGATAATGGTTTATGACTGATGATTTATTTTTTTAATTGCAGCAGCACCCACCAACTGCAATCAGGATTAAGATCTCATTGAGAGAGCACTTAAACACATGGGAACAGTCTGTCCTCCTTCCAAAGATCTTATCTTTAAAAAAAAAAAAAGAGAGAGACATTTAGAAAAAGGATACATCTAGAGCTGTTCAGACCTTCCCAGTTGCTCAGTAGCCCAAGATCCCAGGCTCCCTGGCAGGCCACTGGCTTACTGACCCAGAGCCCGGGTTCCCAGCACAGCTGGGCACAGAACAGTTAATTCCAATTCTTGGAGAATTTAAAAAAAAAAAAAAAAAGGAAGAAAGCTTTTTATTCTAATTCAGTACAAAACTAAATTTCAAATGGAATGCCTGTTCTTTACCCAACTCTAGATACAACAGAGAAGCAGAGAGATGGTTAGCAAATATCATGTACTCCCTCCCATATTGTAGAAGTAGTAGGAAGGGAGTGCGTCAACAGGGGGGGAAAGTAGGAAAGAAAAGGTTTTGGTACTGGGGGAGAAAGGAGGGAAGTGCAATTAGGCAAAGGGGACAGGAGGAAGGAAATGTGGAAAGGTACAGAAATGAGAAGGGCTCAGAGCAAAGAACTAGTCAGAACAGTATGTGCAAAGTTCAAACTGACAAAAGCTGAGTCTGTTGCCAACACCATTTGTAATCCAGGGGGTTCTGAAGATATTAAAGGTATGCCCCCATCTGGGCATTATGCTCTACTTTTGGGGACAGGGTACTTTACTCTCAGGGCTGTGTCTGTCCTGGTAGTCCAGGTTTTCTTCCCAGAGACCATGTGGCTGGGGGAAGGGAAGCCACTTGGGGCCTTGTGTCCTGGAGATGGGGGTCACCTATTCAGGCCCAGGTCTAGGGAGATGAGGGGGAAAAGAGAGGCTCCAACTTGGACTGTGACCCTGCCTCACTGGCGCTCTGCTGACTCCTGACCGCTTAGGAGGGAGTAAGGTGATGGGGAAAGCCCTTTCCTCTCGTGTGGGGAAGGAGAGGAGAGAAGATCAGAGACAAAAGCAGAGAATTAGACATCTAATCAGCTAACCTAACTATTTATCAACCTGCCACCACCTCCAAAATACAGATTGTTGATTACTCTAATAGTTTTTTCCCACTTCAGTATTTTCACATACAACAAGTCATCAGTCATGCTCATGGATGCCTGGTGATCACTAATAAAATGCTTCCCAGATGCAGTCTCCTGGTCATTCATCTCAGTCTGAATACTACTTGCTGGTCAAAATGTCACTGCAGAAAATATCCATTTCCAGTTCCACATTAGGAGGCATAAATATATAACAGTCAAGTGTGGGCTACAGGTGAAGTTCCTCTGATCCTCCACCCTTTGTACAGTAAGTTACTGTGATCAAAGAGAGGAGTGTTTCCCAAAGTGTAGTATGTGCCTCTTATCCAGGGGGGCACGAAGGCCTCGCCAGGGTGCATGGATAGGCCTCTCAACTGTTGTGGAGAAAACCTTGAACATCTGACTCAAGCATAAGTGATGCAGCAACATCTGCCTGTTTGCAGAGCCTGAAAAATAGCTTAGAGGTATGAATTGGCCCATTTGTTTTAATGGGTGCTAATTCAAATGTCAGTGATTATATTTTAAATAGCAACATTTTAAACTATTTCACTCCAGTCGAAACATGTAAGACTTTAGTAGAAGTGTGATTTTACAAAAACCCTACACAGTCTCCTTTAGTGACTGCTTATTTGGGGAAGGATTTTAACGTCACACAATAGGGCTGAAAGGACATGACTGGTTTCATTTTCCCAGAGGGATGCTCAGCTTTCAAAGTTTGCGAAACACTGGGGAAGAGGTTTGAAGGGTGGAGAAGAAAGTTACAAGAAGCTGATCTATTGATAACTTTAGAACAGTATGCTCTGTGAGTATTTAATTGGAAAGTACAAAGTCAACTAATCCCATGCATTCCTGTCAGTTGTCTTGTCAATTACTATCTCCATTCAATCCCAATTAAAGGACTTTGCAGTCTTCCTTTTAGGCAAGAAGAAAACCAAGTGCTCTTCCTCTCCATAACCCACTTCACTAATTCCAATTTCTTACTTGCCAAATGATTGAGTTTCTCTATGTCCTTCTTGACTTCTTCCCACCATATCAATGTATGCAATAATGTCCGTACTTGACCTTATCTTTACTCTGCATTAGCCAACATACTTTCCCATGTCCACATTCCTGCCCATCTCAATTACTGCAATTCTCTATTTGCTGGTTTCCCTAACTTTCTTTGAACCAAACTCCAGCATATCTAGAAAATAATTAACAACATTGTCTTGAAAACCCAGAGATCATTTCACTTTGGCCAAAAGTTTCAGACAAGTTAGGCCCCTAAATCTATATTTAGGCACCTTAACTAAATTGCATGTTTGCAGAAATGTCAGACACCCACAAATCCCACTGAAGTTAGTAAGAGCTTCATGTGTACAGCATCTTTGAATATCAGGCTACTTATATTTAGGTGCCTCAGTATTGATTTAGGAGCCTAACTTTAGGCATCCAAATTTGAAGATGTTGGCCTTCAGTCCCTACTGACCTTCATGGAATTTCATACTCCCTCAAGAATATAGTTCTTTATCTGCTTATGTTTGTTCAATTCCTTGCACAATCTCACCTTATCCTCTGGCTTCATCACTCCCTCTAGCCTACTTTCAATTTCCTCATCCATCTTTCCACTTATTGATGGAGCCTGAAGCCAATATTGTCCCTTTTCCAGAGAACAACCCCTCAACAAACTCTGTCTCAATATCTTAATCTAAAAAGCCACATCTCATCTGTCTGATTTTGGCTTATTGCCTTCAGTTCTTACCCTCTTTAATTTACTTTGTCAGTATATAAGCTTTGGTTATTAATGACTACATAAATATCAATTTATATTTTGTGCAAATCTGTATTTTGCAACAGAATAAGGTATTTTTCAATACTTAAATGGCAGGTATTAGACCACAACATTGCATTATTTTGTAAAATGCTTTAAGGCTAAAAATAGTTATACACAGAAACAATGCTTTGAACAGTTAACATTTCACAGCAGATTGAAACTTCACAGGGTCTCACAGTGTAGCCATGGCTCTTGCCATGCTGACTTACCTTTTTTTGATCTAACATTCCTCCTCCTTCATATTTCCCCTGGAAGCAAAGAGGCTGAAACAAATGTTACCAATGAACTTGCAGCACATTTTGGGGACTGACATTCCTTTGTAACAAACTGGTTTTGAAGCATTATCTTTTTAAATTACCAAGCTACAGGAATCTGAAATCCTATGTTCTGCAGTGAACAGCACTTATGTTATAATAATACTGTACAGCACATAAGTATAATCTTTGTTTATTGAGATCAATTATATGTTCTTAATTATTCTATTCATTTCCTCTACATTCAGCAGATAAAACATCCTGTGGGATATTATCCTCTAACCAACGTGGGGACTGGAGTAAACTTACAACTAGGACATTTCTTGAAGTGTCTTCCAACACACTTAGGAGATCAGTCATAATATTTACATATACTCAAGCACTTTGAAATCTCAAGCTGTATTAACCAGCTGTCATTTTGGTGTCAAACTCCGGTCACTTTAATGTGAAATAAGGGTCAGCACTTGATTTTTTGCTATTAGTAAAGTACTTCTTAGCTACTGAACTTTTATTAAACCACAAAACTAGAAGGAGAGCCTAATACGTGCAAAAAGTTGTTGCTCTCACCAACAGAAGTTGGTCCAATAAAAGATATTACCTCAGCCACCTTATCTCGCTAATATCCTGGGACCAACAGGGCTACCACAACATTGCATAAAATAATGTGCCATACGGACACTCTTAAGAGCTCTACAGTGCCATTTTGTTAGTGCTAGTATCTGAACAAGAAAACAATTCAGACTAAAAACAAAAACAAAACAAAAAGAAACCAACCACAATTATTTAACTGTTAATGGTCTGACTTAAAATCACTATGAAGACATTTTCAATTAATACTAAAAACCTGTCTTTGTCCTTTTAACCATATTTTCAGAGGTCTCAAATAAAAGCTATTGTTCTCAATTCCATAATTACTGGGTGAATTTCTATGATCTGTATTATGCAGAAGATCAGGCCAGATGGCCATTAGCTATTCTGGCTTAAAAATTTATGAATCTATGATCATAGCCTCTAATAATGTCATCACTAAATTTCCATGTACATCAAAATTCTGATATGTACTTGCAAACTACATCTTTTTGCTGCTGCTGGATAGCCATCAAATTACACATTTTTGCATGTGCTAAATATCCCTTAGACTGAAAAATTTGTGACTATATTTACATTTTTGGCTTTGATAGTTTCATCTTAAAACACTATGCCCCTAGGCCACCCAGGAATTCAACTAACACTGGGAGAATCACTAAGAAGCTACTTAAGATCTCAATTCAGAAAAGAATCCCTGTTCAGGAAGAACACTTAAGTATGTGCTTAGGCTTAACTTAACTTTAAGCAGATGCTTAATTCCTCCTGAAGTCTTAGCAGAGGCTCTCTACTGGGACTAAACACTATACAGTCTTGAAATTAAAAAATATTTTGTTTTGTAAAAAGAAACTAATACTAGAAATATTTAGATGAAATGTAAAATATTTTGTGAAAACATTTTTTTGTTTTTTAACATCCCCCTGCCTTTTTTGTAACCCAAATATTACAATACTGTATTTAAATGCATGAAGACAAGTAAGTGAAGTTGCTAGAAATTATTTTTAAAAATGAAACTGACTGGTCTCTCTTAATTTAAAAATCAGAGGGAAAAAGAAGGAATAACCAAAGAACACGTGGTAAAAAGTAAGACAGGGTTTTAAAAAAGTTCTTTCAGGTTTAATAATCTCGGGTGTTAACAGTCACATGCAGATAAGGACATTGGTTTTGTCTTTATAAACAACTTTTTGTTTGACAGCAGCCTTTTAATCTCAATAAGATCAGCCTCATTCAAATCAAATCCGAGCCAGTGTATAAACTAGCAAACTAAAGCTAATGCTCAACAAAAGTGTGCAATAAAGAAGCTTCCTTTTCAACAGAGAAAAAGGAACAACAAACCATTGTCTAACTTCGTCAATATATCAC